AGAGCTGGTTTAGATGCCAAATCACCTGTCCATGTGGCAGGTTGTACTGGGGTATGTTACTAGTAGCAGGCCTAAGCCTGATCAAACCTGAAAAATAGCATAAATACCATGACAGGATCTGGTAATTCCATATGTTCATGTATAAACTTGAAATACTCATGTTCAAAGTCACTTATGAATTCATTAATTTTGGTATTTTCTGATTATCAAAAATTGTACAAATAATTAAATACAATCAACTGCCTCCTAAAAGCAAAGATCTTTTTCAGTCATATATTGGCTCTATTTTCCTCTGAGAAATTATCTAAACTTATTTCCAATAACATTGTTTTCGCTCTCCTAGACAAACCTAAATGTATGGCCAATATACACTTGTTTTGGGGCAAGTTTATTACTTTATTCCCCTATATGGAGATATCTCATTTCCAACTAATAAAATTGAACTAGTTCTTCAGTGTAGGTGAACACTTTGAAAATGCCCTAAAACAGGCACGTCAAATTGTGAGGATCCCCTGAGGCCCATATGGTCACATATATGTTGTTATGAGGATCACATCCAACAACCAATTGTGCACATCATACTTATAAAACCCAGGTTGTGTGTGTGTGTGTCTGTACGTTTATATATTGGATCGGATTTCCTACATTTTTTTCAACCGATTTCAACAAAACTTCACTTTTTTTTTGGCAGGTAGTGTTTCTTATTGTCTTGCACACTTTTTTCTTTATTTTTACATTCAGAATGCTTTAAAAATTCTATTTACAAGACAATTGTTTATAATAAAATTCTATTCAATCGGTAGACTCATAACGATTGAAAACAATGTTTCTGTTTGAGTTTGGGTTTGACCAATTCGTAAAAAAAAAAAAACTAATTAAGACATGCATGTCCATCAACCTTAAACAATAATCTTTGTCAATTTTATTTTTCAGTCTTTATGATGGTCGATACTTGATCTATCTCTCTTACTGTTACATCCCTGGGCAACGCTGGGCTCTACTGCTAGTTACAACTAATTGGAGTCATTTAATAAAATTTATTGCAGAATATTTTTGTTACTTAAATTTAGAAACTCACAATGTGCATACAAATGTTTTAGTAGTGTTCATGTATACAAAGTAGTGAATGACTTTCATAAAAAAATAAAATTTTAAACAACATATGCTTGCAGTTTGCAACAACAAATATATTGTACAAAAATTACAACAGTTCAAAATTGAACATTTATTTGCCACTATTCAGTCAGTTTTTTTTGTCCTGAGGCTTGACACCTCTTTTTGCTGACAATTTTTGATATGTCTGGCTGAAATGTCTATGCAGTTCTGACTTTGATCAGAGATGACAAATGCTGATCAATTAGCCTTGTTCTCCAAGAGTTTTTTTTTTTTTTATTTTATGAAGAAAAATAACTGTTCACACATATAGGTAGAACCAAACATTGCCATAATCTTTGTGGAAAACTTTCTGAAGTTTTTAAACTTTTTAGGAAGGTATGAAAAGAACCCAGGTATTCCTACTTCAAGATAATTTGCTCCGAGTGTAGAATCTGACCACATATCTAATAGTTCCATCTGAAGACTTTCTTCTGTCTTGGCAACATCAAGGGTTAATAGTGCTGAGTATAATGCAAACTGATGTTCAAAAGATGAGAAATCACTAAATCTTTTCTGGAATTCCTTTGATAACAATTCCAGATGACTGTCATACTTAACAAAGCTAAGTATAGCCTCAGTATTGGCAGAATTTTTCAGCTCTTTGCACATAGGAAAATTAACTAAATTTTCATTTGACAACTGTGACTTCTATAAGCTTAGTTTTGTTATAAAGAACTTAATGCCATCATACAACTGACTGATAAGTTTGGTTTTACCATGTACTTTTAAATTAAGATTAGTTAATTGAGCAGTAATATCCACAGCAACAGCCAGATCTTGGAGCCAACTTTCAACTTTTATTTTATCTCCAAAAACATAATTCTTGTCTCAATAAATAGAATCTTTTCAACACTTTGTGACATGACAACCAGTGGACTTTGTGTAAAATGGAAAATCAGTGAACTGATTATCCATATCTTCCATCTGACTGAACTGACAATGGTTGAGAGCACAGCCTCTGATATAGTTCAGTCTTGTGACTAAGCACAATTTTAAAAACTTTGAACACAAATTTTGTTGATGAATAATACAGTAAAAATGTGCAAATGATGAATCTGGATATGAGTTTTCTAGTTTTCTTTGCAACTTGGCAGCAACACCATTGTTTGCCAATTAACATCACTGTCAGTAAATAAGCATGCAATGTCAATGGTCTCATCAATAGCAATAGAAAAATGTTCAAACCTTGGTGATACAGCTTTCAACTGCTGTTTCAAATTACCTGATATTTCATCAATCTGTTCAGCAACAGTGTACCTGGTTAATGAAATATCTTTGAATAAGTGTGCTTTCTCTGGACATACAATTTCAGATGTTTTTACAAAATCTCCTTCACTATAAGATTCTCCACTTATGGCAAATAGGAGTTGACATGCCGTTAAATCCAACAACCAACCAACCACTTATGGCTGAGTTCATAGCTTACAGTAACAGCAGTGATATTCTGTTTCTGAATTTTCATAAAAAAGTTCTGTTGCTATGTCAAGATAGCTTTCAATTCCTTGAGTTTTGAAATACACATTGAGCCTTCATAATTTATAAGATAGATGGTTCATTTCATAATGTCTTTTCAGGTTGTACTCTTTTGGCATGGCAATGGAGTTGTTGTAAATTAAATAATGTATGTTTTTATTCACTGTTGTACAAAAATGCTATCATTCCCACTTTTTTTGAAACACTCACCCTTCATCATCCAATTTCCTTTTTCTCTTAGGTGGATGAGTACTAGCCATTTTAGAGTTGAATTAGTAGGAAAAAAACTAATTTTCAAAATTGATGATGTGGAATCTGAAAAATTACTGGGTCATTGAAACTACAGCTAACAGTAAAAAGAGATAAAGCAATTTTGATAACGCCTCTAAAACATTTTTGGCTGACATTTCACCTTTAAAAGCAAAACCTTTTGAAATTTTGAAAGAAAGTTTTCTGTTTACAACTGTAATATGAACTGCCATATTGTTTTCACGGTGTGATGGCTATTGGCATGGCTACAAGAGAGAATTTGTTCCTGTGTTATTTTCTCAGCCACCAATTTGCTACAATTTTTTAAATAATAGCTTAGTACTGTACTAAGTTTGTTGATAATATTAAAATTCATTTTAAATAAATTTATGCAGTAAATGGTATTCTGTTAAAATAAATCGAGAAAAAAAAAAAACATATGATTTATTTTCTTAAACATTGTAATTTCTAAATTACAAAAACTGCAATTTGGGCTGCATGTGTGCTTGTAAAGAGCTGCCTGTGGGCTGCATATTTGACATGCCTGCCCTAAAAGCCTCTGCTATCAGTTTAAGATATACAAACAACACTTTTCAAGAAGAATATTAGCAAGGAGATAGTTTCTCATCTGCAGTAGCATAGGTTTACAAGGCAATTGAAATTGACTGACTGAGGTAGAAAAATACAACTCATTTATTTAGTCTTGGAAGAAGAGTCTATTTATAAAAAAAATAAAGTGAGTGTCTCCCCTTTTATCTGGAAGGCTCAATAATACAATTTGTTAGAGCTCCTGTCTGAAAACATTTTTCAACTGGAACTTTGGTTGTGATATGTGAAATGTACATGCATACACACTTTAACATTAATATAAATAAGCCTGCTTTGTTGTCATGTAGGCTTACAGCCATATTATGTCAAAACACCAGTTCTCATACAATAACCAAAGTTAAATAATGTTGAGCCAGGTCAGTACCTAAATGGGTGACTGCTTGGGAATACTTGATGCTGTAAGCTTGGGTGTATGGGTGGGTGTAATGGATAACAGCTCAGAATGGTAACAGTACACCTATTTGTATTTGTCTGAGACAAATCAAGTTAGTATAGTTATTTTGAGCTTACTTTGAAATAATGGTTATCATCATTTGAGGAAGAGCTTTCATATAACTGTCCATATAATGAATCATTAAACTTTTAAAACAGTCTTCCATTTCATTTAAGTCAATACTGTTTCCTCTTTGTTAGGGATTTATTTAGGTTTATATTTTTCATATGCACACATGAAAAATAAAAGGATTGATTCAAATTTTTGGAGAATCGAAATCTTGTCTGTCAAACAAAATGTCTTATTCTTAGTACTCTTCTGAAAATAATTAAATTTCATAATTATCATTAGACTAGATCAGCATTTCTCAACACACTACAAGTTAACAGAAGAGTAATTTATGAATTTTTTTTAAATTTAAAAAGTCTGTTTTTAAAAAGCTAGATACGCCAAACACATGGCTTCCATGTCTAAGTCAAGTCTTTGTCATTTGATATTTTAAACTGGATGCTAAATTCCTTAATCTTTAAGGAGTAGATAATCCTTTCCCTTTTGCCTTCCACGAGTTCATTGCCTTCCCATCCGTCATTATCAACCTATCTAAAAAAAAAATAGCAGATTCAACATAAATCCCTTTAAATGAAAACTGTAGCATTAACCTTAAACCAAAATTTGATATTTTCAAATTTCATGACTAATTCTTCTTTATTAAAATTTAAAGTGTGCACCAGTTTTAGTTATTCTACAAATGCACCTTGGTTGAGAAGTAATTGACTAGATAATGATTTTGGGTAGCATGATTGCTAAATGGACTACAGTTCTGAGAAATCATATGTATTATCAATTTTTAAATATAGATATGCATGAATACTTACTGTAGAATGTTGATTAACAAACCTATACAGGTAGCAAAGTTAGTGGGATACTGAAGGTATATTCAGAACTTTGTTAGTTTTGATACTTTTTCTTGGCATCGTGAGGGTGTGTATTAGATAACATTGTTCTTAGTTTTATAATTATGTACCCAAACCAATTTTATGAAGATATCTCAGCAAATTCTATTTCTTTTTTTTTTCTTTAGAGTGTTTATGAAAGCAAGGATGGCATTAGTTCTTCTTTGGCTGTCCACATATTTACAGTAAATATCTCCAAGTTGCTCTCTCAAGTAGCACGTACCTATGAGGCAAGTGCAGACCTACCAGAAGAAGCAATTTCTGAGTGGAATGAGTTCTTCAGCCAGACAGTATATAATCTTCTTCTTCATATTTATGTCCAGTTAGCAGGTAAGAAAATTATCATAAATTATAATTAGGCTTTAGATACTCTTTTGCATTATAGAGTGCCTAGATATTATAGAGTCACAGATGTTCTCCAAAGATTCAGACAATCAACTGTTTTGGATTGGGTTAGAGTAGACAGGAGCAAAAAAATGTTAAACTGGTATTGATAAACAGTGTATTGATATCATCCACAGGTTAAAAACCACCTTTTAATCATTTAATTTTTTACTAATAGATGTTACAATTTTTTTTTATTATTATTAATGACTTAGAGATTTTAATTTATCAGGAAGTCATATTATCACCACTGAATTTGCATCCAATCGCAATAAACAAGTGCTCTCTAGGGGAGGTTGCATGCCTTGAACACCTATTGGAACTTAAACTCAACCCAGACTTTGTGGAACTCGTACATACAATCCATCACTAAAGATGCTGGAAAAATTCACTGTACCACTCAAGTAAATACCTGACTCCTCCTGCTATCCAATACCTTTAGAAGAACCAAATCAGATTGAAAATGGAGTACTGCTGCCGTTTATGGCAGGAGCTGCCCAGTCTTCACTTTCCTGTCTCTATAGAGTCTAGAAACATCTCTGCACCCTTGTGGGTGACAAATTATTTTCTCCTCTACAATGCCTTTCCCACAGATGAAATGCTGTGAGCCTCTCGTTACTCTATCACTATTTCCATGGAAAGTGCTCAGACAAACTACATTCCTTAGTTCCTCCAGTTCTGACATTATGGCTAAAACTTGACATGCTATGCACATTGTAGAAAACCACCATCATTCTCTTCATATCCCATTGGTGAGATATAAGTTCCATTTGAGCAGCAGCTTCTCATAGAATGTTGAGGATTCTTCACCAGTCACTACAAGCTTGGCCTCTTCCAGTTTAGAGTCTAGAGTATATCTTCCCCACATATCTCCATATATTCTGTCTTTTACTCTGTAATCCTCTACCTCAAGTAGCTCTTTGGCCTTATACAGAGTGAACATCATTGTAAAAATAAAAAAAATAATAAATAAATTAAATCCCATACTGGACTTTTCCGATATCCCTAATTGAAGATGGAACAGAGCTTGGTACTTTAATTCAATTTAATTCAAATAATTATGCTTGTTTTGAAACATGAGAACTCTTATGTAGCGTTGGAATCATATTTTTAAATAAATAATTATATTTATGCTCTACTTTTGTATCGAGCACTATTTTTTAAAAATAATAACAAAAATACTAAAGAACTTTGGATTATTTACCTAACGAGTTCTTTCCTATTTTCTATATATTTTTACACACACACACACACACACACACACACACATACATCTCTAACAAAACTTGTATCTTGTATATAAACAGAGCTTGTAAATTGTTTTGAACAAACAAAACTGCATTTTTTTCCTTTAAGGTAACCTTTTCAGCCAACACATAATCAGAAGCAGCCTAAATAGAATATTAACGAATTTCACAAAGTAACAGTCTAGGAAGAAACCATGAACTACAACTAAAATACCAACGAGCCAAATCATCAGTCTATTATCAAAAACTTGTGCCAAATTGGTTACGGTACGTCAGCAGTTAAGAGGGAAGCTAACATCATCTTATTCACACTCTCAACCTAGAATATATAACCCACACAAGACATAGTGATTTTCCAACCGTAGCTCAGATGTGGCACAAGGCCGAAAGTATGGGGCACCCAGTGAGGATCGAACTCACTACTCAGTCGTAATTGTTCTAGCAAGACAAGCTTGCTAAACATTAAACCACCTCAAGGTGCCCAAACCCACACAAGATATATGGTATGTCATTAATGACTGTGTTACCTTTAAAAAACATTTGATTATTACCATATCTAGAACAAAAAATTGTCCTAGAAACATGAAATTTCAGCCACCTTTCAGCCATTTGCAATGAGTGGATTTCGGCAAAAGCAGCAATGTTCACAAACACCTAGGTCCAAATTAATGTACCATCAAAAGTAAAATTATTGATTTTGGTCTTAAATTACCATATTGTATTTATGGTACTTTGAAAGACTGTTAAAACATACATGTATCAGACTTTATAAGCTTCCAAAAAGACAAGTATACTACACTGTTATGAGTATCATCGCTATATTAACAGCAGTATACCCTTTCATTTTGTCATGACATTGCTTACCAGTACATTATAGGTGAATGTAACTGCTAAGGTCTTCATGGTTTTAAGGGATAAATGTAGAGAATTACTGTATGAAAGTAATAAAATATTACATAGATTGGAGAATGATTGTATTTTTAGCAGTGGCATGCAACCATAGTAACACAAAATATCACAACCAGGATTATGATGTTTCATATCCTGTATGATGAGTCTTATGACCAAAATATAGACAACACAGCTGCTGTGCTCAGAGGTGGAGTTTGTATATGGTATTCCCATATTTTATTTTATACATACAGACTTCAGACCCATGACTTAAAAACAAAAAGGCTCTTCTATGCCATTAGATGTAAGCTAAATGTAATAGAATATGCAAAAACATGGTAAGAGGGCAGCTGCTCAGTATTTAGTATGTACTGTTTGCTGAAATACTAGTTTCATTTTTTTCCTTATTTCTTGATGTATACTACTGGTAATATTCAGTGAAATATTTTGCTTTGTCTGCATCTACTGAAATTATCTATAAGAATTCATTCACATTTAGTTTCCTTTGAAGGTTAAAGTCACAGTATATGAGTTCATACTTTATTCCAGTATACTGTTACAATATTGCATTTGCAAGCACAAAATCATGCATTTTCCCCTACAAAACCACTTTAAAATATATTTCAATAAATATTTGATGAAACATACTAAAAAAATTTTTTCCACAAAATATCTTTGTAAAATAAGTGAGGGCATCTTATGTGAGGATCTAAGGCAAATACAGTATGTATTATAAATTATTTTTTAACTTAATATAAAAATAATGAAAATGAGAAAGTCAGCAGTCAATTGCTGAAACCTCCTGAGGAGTGGACGAAATGATTACAAAAAAGTTTGTCTATGAAACTTTGGAGTCAAGGTGCTGAATATAATATCAAGCAGCTAACTGACAAATTTTATATTTGTATTAATCATATATGATGGTCACTCCATCTGTCTGACTTTATTCCACATTTTAATTTTTCTCAAATCTCTTTTTGTGAAGAATTAATGTATTTATGTTTAACCTGACATTTTTATTACTTCAAATATTTTAGTGAATACTTTTGAGTAATTACACCATTTTTTAAACAGTCTTTATTAGTCTACCAGTCTGTGCACTTAAGAAAATAGTGGAATAGTCTTTTCAAGCATGGGTATTCACTAAAAAAAAAAAAAATACTTCCTACAGCAAGATTTGTTAGGTTACATTGGGAATAATTGTTGAGTTACAAATGTAACTGGGATATCTTTTACTATGAAGGGATGCTGAAAAATTCTCACTCTGACCCAGAAGGGATTTCCGGGGGGGGGGTCTGATATTTGGTCAGATTTTAGGACATGGGTTAGACTAAGAACTTTTCAACATCTCTTTGTATATTTGTAACATTACTTTATTCAAATATTTTTTTCCAATAGAGAGTTTGATGTCAAGTGATGTCAGTAGGTCCCAAGAGCACCTCCTTGCCTGGATGGGTGAAGCTGTGACCTGTTGTCCTAAAGACCAGCTAATGTCCCTACAATTGGAATCTACAGGAGCTGAAAGCAGTCCTACTTGTCAAATTGAAACTATTTTACATCATTTTTGTCCCATGTTGCTGTCCAGAGTTTATTGCATCCAAATAGCAGCCTACCACATTCTTAACAAGTATGATGTCTTTCAGTATTTTTATTTTCTTCACTAACCAGTTTTCTCTACTCTGCAATTTTCATTCTTGTCTGACATTATGTCAGATTTTAGTTTACAAGTCTGTTTTCATAATAAAATTGGTCTTAACTAACTGGTGTTGGTAAACTTTTCAAGATATGAGCAATATATTGTAAGAATTTCAGCTCCTTATTAAAAAATATTGATAACTTCTTTTGTAGGGGTGTCAGGTTTTATTATACAAAGTGCAACATAAATTTTTTATTTATGAATACAACCAAAAGATATAAGCTTCAGAAACACATTTCATTAACACACTATCTCATATAACTGAATAAATTATTATTTTTGCATATTAATATTGGCTCTTTGACATTCTATATCCTTCATTATTTTTTCAACCATTGATTTTAACTTTTTTACTGTTTTTACATGCAATATTTCTTTTGCTTCCCAGAAATCTTTGCTTGAATATTATTTTCCATTCTCATAAACATCACTCAATGATGGACCTCAAATTTTCTCTTGCATTAATATCTGGAAAGGTTGAAAGGCATTCTATTAATTTGGTTTCTGTCTGAATTTTTTTTTTTTTTTTTTTTTTTTTGTTGGGTAATATTATTTGCAGAATATGAAGAAGTGTTGTGTGAATATATTCTTTATGCTGAAAACCTTACTGCACCTACTCCTGTTGTCTTCTAAGTAATGTAAGTTGACTGTTTCCATGAGGAACTCTATCATCAGGTTCATCCAATGTAGCTCTACATTCATCAGTAAAAATTACTATGGAAAATAATTTTTCATGTACTTTACCTTATTATGTACCTGTTACACATTTCTCTTTGTGATGTTTATTTAAAAAGTAGTTTGTTTTCTTCCAAGTCTTTAGCCAATATTCTTGATATTCTGTGTCGTTTCTCTCTGTTTATGTTCACAATGCTAGTTTCTTCTAATATTTTCTTGATAAGTCCACCAGTCTTGCTTATTTCACATTTTTATTTTTCTCAAATCTCTTTTTGTGAAATTCTTCAACTCATTTTTCCCCATTCTTATCTTGCCAATTTTATCAATTTCCTTTTTTGTTCTCCAATCTCTGTACAACTAATTGTTGTGCTCCCATCATTTAATAATTTTGTATTTGAGGTTGTATCTTTATGACCCATTGCAATCTTTATTTATCTGAAATTAAAAAATTGATTGTATAATAAAATCTAACACAGCTAAATAATTTTTTGTAAATATTTCTAATGAAAACAGATATTACACTATACAGGGTGTCCATAAAGTTCGTGTGCACTATAAAAATTTATAACTTTATTTGTATTTGCGATAGAAATAATCTTTAAAAAAATGTTATAAAGTTTAATGTACCTAGTTTTAAGTATAGCTAAAATAACTGATGTGATTTCAGGCATTACTGTAAATCAGTTGGCAAATGTTTTCTGTGAACTGCAAAATCGTATTACCCTTTGTATTGCTAATGATGGAGGACATGTGGAAACTTAAATAAAATTTCAATAAAACATTAAAAAATATAGATTTACTTCTTTCTAATCCTTTTTACAAATTATTTCTATTGCAAATACAAATAGTTTTAAAGTGCACACGAACTTTATGGACATCCTGTATAATTCTCTGGGTATATTTATTATATAAATATAAGTATTTCCTGAAAGTTCTGCCAATATCCATTTCCATTATTCAACCTCATTTAAGATCTTAGTCCACAACACTGCACCACTGATAATTGTGCACTCTATAATCTTTTCAACAGTTATATGCACTTTGCCATGGCTACATCCAGTTTTGAATTCAGTTGTCTTCTCCTAGACTAGTTGCCAACCATAGCTAGAAAGCCTAATCTGTCTTGCTATTTCACCCGTAGATGGAGGTTGAAGGATTCATACTTTCGTTTGAAAGTGAATATAACTCTGTTCAACTTTTTCCATTGTTGTGCCCTTATTCAATAACTATAATGTATTGTATTTAAGGTTATATCTCTCTTATGACCCATTGCAATCTTTATTTATCTGAAATTAAAAAATAAACATCATTAACTCTACTATTATAGTTATTCACAATAGCAACCTTCAAACAGAATAATAAACTCTCACAACATTTAAGTTATTGTAAATATTTCTAATAAAAAAATCTTATACACTGAAATTCAGATTGTATATTTATCATATAAGTTAAAGTATATCCTGCAAATTTTGCCAATATCATTTGAAAACATTGACTTGGATAATAAAATCTGACAAGTGTATAGTTAGATTAATAATCTTTTTATTAAATAATATTACTGTATTTTTAAATAGTAATTTCTACAATTCTTAACCTTACTTAATGTTGCATATTAATGTTTGTAACATTTGCTTCAATGCTGAAATAGATGATATTGAGATAATGGCAGTTATCAGGCATTATTATCAGCAAGGACTAAAAGCTGTTGAAGCTGCTCACAGAATTTAGGAAATGAAAGCCATATCATACTGTACTGCCCAAAACTAGTATAAGTATTATAAGGGTAGTGACTGATCAGTACATATCACTTAATGATTGCAATAAATACCTTAGATTTATCAGTTATTATAAAAAGTTGAAAACATCTAAACTAATTTAGTTAGAACTTTTAAAAAATCCCCTCTTGTAAAACATTATTTACATATTCTTGTATTCTTTAGGGGATTGCATTCCAATACCAATAATCAAGAAAGCATGAAATTCTTACACTGATCATCACAAGCACCTCTCTCATAGGTTAATTTGTCACTTATTGAAATTAATGCAATTTGTACATAATCATTATATAGCAAACAACTAAAATATGACTAACATAAGACAAATATTAGAGAATAGATTTATATGTAATTTTATAAATACATCATGTAATATGTAAATAATAATTTCTTTTATTATTAAAATATATTAATGATTTTTCTTTTTATTCTTAATTGCATACATAAAACTGTAATTTTCATAGATATTTTAACAAAAATCAAATATCTTCTTTTGTCCATTTGTTATAACTTTCATGTTTTTGTTTCATCTTTTCATTACTTTATTATGAACTTTAAATAAAATGGTTTCAAAAGGTGTCAGTTTAAAGTGTTTTCAAGAAAATAATTATATATATATATATATATATATATATATATATATTATAATTACCTTTAATTTGAAAATGTTAATATCTATATCAGAAACTATTATTTTCAATTCTAATTTTATCTGTTATTTCAGGATCATTAATGATTTACACAGCTTAGAAAGTTCCAAAGTATCCACTGTATCACTGACAGAAGACATCTGTGTTAAGAAATTGGAAAATCTAAAGTAAGTATACAAATACTTAGTATTTCTTTCATAGATTTTTTGCCTCAGTTTTATGGTTTAACAAATTTTTATATACTCCTGTCTTAATAATGATATTAATAGTGTCTGATCAGTTTGATGTCAAATTGGCAGCTGATCTCCAAAATGACCTACAATCTACCGTTAACTGGGCAAAGAAAGGCTTACTAATTTTAACGCCTTCAACATGAACCTGCTCTCCATTAATCGTCAGAGATTGCTTTCTGCCTTCTGTTAGCATCGCAAATGCTAACCTCTAGGAGAGTGACTCATTGCAACTTCTTGGGCTAATGTTTTCTGCTGACATTAAGTAGGAAAGATTATATTGAATTGATTGCTAGGTCTGCTGAAAGAGAAGTTGGTTCGCTATGTTATGCTAAACAATTTTTCACACCAGAATCTATCTTATGTATTTATAAGTTTAACATTTGCCCATGCTTTGACTATTGCTGCCACATATGGTCTGGTATTCCTGTTATATATTTAGATTCTTGATGAAATTCAAAGAATCTGCAATGTTATTGGTCCTGACGTGGCATCTTGGCTTCAGTCACTTTCCTACCTCTGTAATTTAACTTCCTGTGCCTTTACTATAAATACTTTCATGATTCTGAGGCACTTCCTCTATGTTACCCAAACTTTAAGAATGCTAGATTGGCAGTAAGATTTCATCATTTTACAGTTGAAATGACTAGATATAACTGTAAGTTCTGTTAGCTGTTTCTTTTCTTGCACTTCTTGCTTGTGGAACTCTCTTCCAGCTTTTTGCTTTCCAGTCAACTTTGATCTTCAAAAATTTAAATCCAGTGTCAATTGTTATCTACCGTCTTTTTAATTCCTGTTCTTTTATTGTTCACGCTCAATAATGTTTTTCTTTTTCTAATATTCTTTCACACTCAGTAACCCCTTGTGGCTTTATTGCCTTGCTTGGGGTGAAAAGATTAAAAAAAAATAATAGAAGATTGTCAGGGTATTATGCTGGGTTTTTCATAGCAACTCTTGGTTAAGCAGCATTAGTTGTTCATTTTCTCTACAAGCAGCATGAGGCAGGTAGTATGGGGTTACATAATTGTTACTAACATTCTCAATTGCAAAAAAAAAAAGCACTGAATTGTGTGTATATTGGCTGAGGGAAAAGAAAGGAAAAAAGAAAGAAAAAAAGACAAAAGTGTGGCACCAATTTTGAAAAATGTTTTTATCCGGGCAGCTGTTGATAGTTTTATGGTCTGAGCTTTTGTCCTGCAGAAAGAGGAATGAGAATCTGTGTCTGAGTTTAGCTATTTTCCTTGCATATGCTTGTTCTGGGTGAAAGCATAACCTACATTTTTATTGCCAAGTATTCAGTGCAACAGTACCAACAAAAATGCAAGTAACAGTGAAGAATCCTTGACCTAATTGCTTTCTTATGCTAACTCTCTTTGCATGCAAATAACTTTTGTCTGGCAGGGAAATTTAAAAGTAAATACATTTGAATTTTGTCCTCAGAATGTATTGGTGATGTTAATGAGGATTATGGCAACTTGTCTTTTTTTCATAATTTCATCATTTTTATTAAATTTACATATAATGTATTGAGTAATCATTTTAATTTATAAATTTCAAATTAGACTCCCCCAGTACCATATCTTCTATCATAATAAATTTTAATAAAAATTACTCTATGGTGACTGTGGAGAAAAGTGCCATAGGCGAGGTAATGCTTCCTGGACACCCCCTGCAAAAAAAAAAAAAACAGGGTTTTATCAACCATGACTAGGTCAGCTAGGTAAGGTTGCTTTTGTGTGTAAATCTATTATAAAGTCTGCCGATTCCTTTTTCTATGCTTATAGCCATTAAGTCACACACATATCCTTGAATTACATACTGGCTTATAAATCAGTATTGTAAATATTATTTTTATGACTTGTATTTCTTTTATATTGCTTCTGAGTCTTTTTTTTTTTTTTTTTTTTTAATTACAGTTCTCAGAATATCAGATTTTATTCCTGTTCCATGTTGCATACTAATGACCATGGAATGACTGTCTCAGAGTTGTGATTTTAAAAAAGAAACTTCTGAGAGTAGGCATGTTTAAGAAGGGCAAGATCAGATCTCATGCCATTTATTTCATTGTATTTTAACTACTTGCTCTTGATGGCCACACTATAACAATATACATGTGAGTGTCATTGTTATTCTTGGATAACCTTCAAATTATTAAACAATCTTTTTCTTTCTTTTTAGCACTGTAGATAGTGAACCAAACTTAGCTGCTGAAGCAACTGCTGCTAAATATCCCCATTTTGAAGATGATGATGAAAATGGCAGGTATGTGATTCTTTTTAGTCTGCTTTCTTTGTCTCTTACCTATGATTATTTAAGTCATTATCATTCAACACGATCAAACCCACCCCATAAATATTGGCCCTCAAAGCCTCACTACTTGTGTGACTCCCTGCATTTGTGATTATGTCATCATATGGCAGAATATACATGGATCAGGTTACAGTGGGTTGAACATTAAGACCCAATATTTACTGGGCTGGTTGAATGCTAAAGGGTTATGGATCTATTAAAAATTTTTTTTTTTTTTTTCATGTTGACCTCTAAAGATTCTGTCCCTCCACTATGTTGTTATTATCATATAAATCGAATCGTTATCAATTTAATCCATCTGTAACATTTTCTTCAGATGTTATAATAGAAAATAAATATTGAGATAATGGCAGTTATCAAGCATTATTATGAGCAAGGACTAAAAGCTGTTGAAGCTTCTCACAGAATTTAGGAAATCATATCATACTGTACTGCCCAAAACTAGTATAAGTATATTAAGGGTAGTGACTGATCAGTACATATCGCTTAATGATTGCAAGAAATAACTTAGATTTATCAGTTATTATAAAAAGTTTAAAACATCTAAACTAATTTAGTTAGAACTTTAAAAAATCCCCTCTAGGTAAAACAATATTATTTACATATTCTTGTGTTCTTTACCAATAAAGAAAGCATGAAATTCTTATACTGATCATCACAAGCACCTCTCTCATAGGTTAATTTGTCACTTATTGAAATTAATACAATTTGTACATAATCATCATATTGCAAACAACAAAAATACGACTATTAACATAAGACAAATATTAATAGATAATAGATTTATATGCGATTTTGTAAATAGATCATGTAATATGTAAATAATGATTTCTTTTATTATTAAAATATATTAATGATTTTAAAAACATCCCCTCTTGATAAAACAATATTATTTACATATTCTTGTGTTCTTTAGATGATTGCATTCCCAGTACCAATAATGAAGAAAACATTATATTCTTACACTGATCATCACAAGCACATAACTCTCTCATAGGTTAATTTGAATTTTAATATAATTTTTGCATAATCATTATATCACAAACAACTAAAATATGACTATTAATGTAAGACAAAATTAATAGATAATACCAAAATACTATAGAGCACTTACTGTAGAGAGAATCTCAAAGTACTCAAAGCTAAAGAAACAATCTACATTAACATTATTCGAACTATTGTCCTCATCTTTATTGCCATATTTATTACAACGTTTCAGCCGTTGTACACTCCAGCCTTCTTCAGGTGGTTGGAACGTCGAACTGAACCCTTTATTTCGCTCTCTGGGGAAGACTGTTCTAGTTCCACATGCCATGCATTATCTCCTGTTAATTTCCCTCTGAAAGTTTTCCACTGCCTTAGCCAGGTATTGAACTCTTTGGGTCCTGTCACTGGATCTAACTAACACCTTTATCCACTGTGCCATGTGACCTTGAGGACATCTTGTATGAGGACATGTATATATATATTTATATATATATTATATATATATATATATATATATATATATATATATATATATATATATATATAATCTGGGTATTTTTACCAGAGCTCATGTTGCAATTTTTGTTGTTTCATACTACCTGCTGACAAAGGCAATGCGACTGTAGTGATGGACAAATCAGATTATACAAGAAAGCTGGAAGACCTCATTAGCAATGGTAGCTACAGCAAAGTAAAAAAGGATCCTACAATGAAAACGGAATGCAAACTGTCACAGATCATAATTAAAAACAAAGATCACTTCGCACCTAAGATGTATAGGCAGTTATCACAGCGTTACACCAAGCTACCTCACATATATGGTCTCCCTAAGATTCACAAAGACGGTATTCCGCTCAGGCCGATTGGTAGTTGCCAAGGCTCTGTGTGCCACCCTCTGAGTCGCTTCCTTGTAGATATAATTAACCCATTGATCGGAAAGTCTCCTTCATATGTCCGAAACTCCACCCACTTCATGGAAATAATCAAAGATGCTCCCATCCTATCCAACCAGCTGGTGAGCTTGGACATGGTGAGTTTGTTCACCAAGGTACCCACAGAGGAGGCACTCTCAGTAGTCAGACAGATTGGCCTCTGACTCATCCCTAGAATAACGGACCAGTATTCCAATAGATAATCTGATGGAAATGTTGACTTTCTGTACACAAACAACACTCTTCAGAATGGGATCACACATATATCGACAGGATGAGGGCTTAGCAACGGGCTTGCCATTATCACCAGCAATGGCGAATATATACATGGAATACTTTGAGGAAATGGCATTAGAATCTATATCTCTAAAGCCAATATGGTTACGGTACATAGATGACACCTTCATACACTGGCCACACCAGGAAGATGTTCAGGTTCTACTGGACCATGTGAACCCAATAAGACTTTCGATACAGTTCACAATGGAGAAAGAGAGTAACAGCACACTCCCATTCCTGGATGTTCTAATATCTCGAACAGAGCATGGGTTCAAGACATCCATATACCGTAAACCGACATTCACCAAACAGTACTTCAATTTCAACTCCCACCATCCATACAGCTTAAAGAAAGGGATCGTCCACTGCTTACAACACCGAGCAAAAGTCATAAATGGCGATCCAGAGACATTAGATAAAGAATTGGTCAGTATAAGTAGTACCCTACAACATAACAACTACCCTGGGTACATGGCAGCAGCCCCCAAAAAACTGGGATAGGAGGACAACAACACTCAGAAAACAGTCTGCCTGCCTTATGTGAAGGGGTTATCAGAGAAAATACAAAGGATCTGTGATTCATATAACATCAGGACAACCTTCAAAAGCTTGGCGACACTTCGTAGATATCTCTCCCGAGTAAGACCCCCTCCATAGAGGAGAACATGACTAAAGACTGTGTGTATGTTATCGTGCTGTAACACGAGGGGAAGTGGAAAAATCAGGCGTGGCTGACCACATATAGAGAGAGAAGGGAGATCACTGCTCTCTGTGGGATCAGGTTGAGATCATAGACAAAGAACACCATTGGAAAATTTGTAAACTTAAGGAATCAGCACATATGCTAGGCCACAAAAAGCATGAGCTGACCAAGCATAGAAATGAATATAATATGGGAACCAGTAATTAAGTGTGCCAGAGAAAAGCAATCATAACTACAAAAGTTGCAATATGAGTTCTGTTAAAAACATGCAATGATAACAGCAAAAATTGCAATATGAGCACTGGTAAAAAATGATGCTGAAGACATTAGGTTTATAATACCAAGAAATTCATACACAGATGTCCTCAAGGACACATGGCACAGTGGATAAAGGCGTTAGTTAGATCCAGGACAGGACGGCTTAGGCAGTGGAGAACTTTCAGAGGGAAATTAACAGGAGATAACTGATAAGTGACATCCATGTGGAACTAGAACAGTCTTCTCCAGTGAGCGAAATAAAGGGTTCAGTTTGACATTACAACCACCTGAAGAAGGCTGGAGCGTACAACGGCTGAAACGTTGTAATAAATATGGCGACAAAGATGAGGGCAATAGTCCAAATAATGTAAATAATGTACATAATACCTCATCTCAGAAATATAGACGCAATCTACATTAAATACTAAATTAAATTTGCAGATAACATTTTAAAATGTATATAAAATGATTATAATATGTATAAAATTTGAATAAGTTGAATAGGGAAAAAAACAATTTTATTATTTATTATTAAAAGCCAACTACATCCCATCAGTAGGGGAAACTTTCCCAAGTTTGATTGCCTTTTGAACAAATAAAATAATTTCCATTCAATATCATCACTTGGTAAAACAGTGTTGAAACAAAATTGCAACTTTTGTAGTGATCTTATAACATGTATATGTTATAATTTTGAATAAGTATTATCAGTGTTTTTGTTTATTGGAATTTTATTCCATGTGTACCAACCCTGTATTTGGGTGTGTATAAAAGTTATATAAAAAAAAAAAATTTTTTTTTTTTTTTGATACGCCCTAATAATTACAATATGTTTCTTTCACCCCAACATCCGATAAAAGACATGCAATGATATTTGTTTGGATTTGGAAATTAAATGATTCAAAGAGTTTGATATGTCATTAAGCATAAACAAATAAAATGTTTGCATGAGAATTTCATAGTTAAACAAACACAAAATCTGCAATATTTTTCAGACAGAAATAACCAGTTGATAAACTGAATTAAAAAAAAAATATAATTGTATTTCAAAGTAGTGTTTTCTCCATATTCTGAGCATGCTTCAAAATTTAAATATGTGCCTTGAAGCACTGTCTGATACAATGTTTTAAGCCATTTTATTTTGGGTTTGTGTAAATTTAGACACATTTACAATTGCATTTAATGAATTCTTTATTAGGCAACCAAATGAGATCCTCATGGAAACTCTGATGAAGTCTTGGAAAGGAATTGAAACACATCTTGATCCCAGTGAAAGCATCGACAAACAGTTTGCACCTTCACACTGCACTTTGGGCTATCTGCTTACCTGGAAACTTCAGCTTCATTTCCTCAGAACAGCTAGTAGCGAGGTGAGCTCTTGAATATTTGGGCAACATTAAACTTTTTCTCTAGCCACCTTATTTTACTGCAATGGGCTAACTAAAAGTTATAGTATTTTGCAGAAGTTATGAGATAGATTGATATTTTAAGGATTCCATCTTTTAATGTATAGTTATATTGGAAATGTGAGGTAGCATAATGATTATCAACATGAAAAATGAAATTGGCAAACTGAGTTCCAATTCCAGCTGAGTCTTTATTTTCATTTTGTACTAATGAACCCAGGAAAGATATTAATTCTCTTCTGACTAATAGAACTTCTTATATATTTCGACTATTCCATATATATGATGGACTCATATTTTGACATATGAGGGTTAAACAGCATGTTCCACTCTTGATGTGCTACTTGTCTTTCTGCCTTTGATGCGTTTTAAAGCCAGCTTGAACTGTTCCATATATAACACAAGGAACATCACCCTTCATGAAGGCTTCAGGAGTGTTAGAGTGGTATTCAGTATTCTCCCTTGTAATAAATATATCTATATAATAAATGCCAATGTCAGTGTGTCACACTTTTTCAATTAAAGGGACACAACTCTCAATAGCTCATCTTCTATATAATAAATGCCAATGTCAGAGTGTCACTGTCTCACACTTTGTCCATTTTACTCAACTTTGTCCAACATGTACCATTTTGAAATCAGGCAGACTTCATGAGCAAATTAAAAACATTTCAGGCTGGATCCAGATCTGCAATGCTGAAAATTTGGATTCCCAATGTTTTTAGATTCCGCCATGTTGGCTTCTACTGATAAAAACAATTAAAAGGACACAACTCTCTAACTTTCAATAGATCATCTTCAAATGAACTGTTCTCAAATTACAGTGTTTCAAATAAAATTGTCCATGTTTTCAACTTAACTCCTAGAGGCCGTAGCCCAACATATTATATGATTCTGGAATTAGGCTGACTCCATGAGCAAATTAAAAACATTCCAGGCTGGATCTGGACCAGCAATCCTGAAATTTTGAATTCTCAAGTTTTCATTACTGTGATTGTTTTTGTTTCAGCATTTTTTTTCTTTTTCTTTTTACTTTTTTTTTTTTTTTTCTTTTACTTTTTTCTTTTACTTTTTCTTTTTACTTTTTTCTTTTACTTTTTTCTTTTTCTTCTTACTTTTTTTTTTTTTTCTTTTTTTTTTTTTTTTTTTTTCTTTTTTCTTTTTCTTTTCTTTTTTCTTTTTTTTCTTTTCTTTTTTCTTTTTCTTTTTTTTTTTTTTTTTTTTTTTTTTTCTTTTTTTTCTTTTTTTTTTTTTTTTTTTTTTTTCTTTTTTTTTTTTCTTTTTTTTTTTTTTTCTTTTCTTTTTTTCTTTTTTTTTTTTTTTTTCTTTTTTTTTTTTTTTTTATGATAACAATTTTTATGAATTTGAAATAAATTTGGGAATAATGAAGATTAATTGCGAAATCCAGCAAAACTCACCCATGAAATAAAAATTGTTTGTACAGAAAGTAAGGACCTATGTGCATCAAATTGTTTTTATATTAAATGGTGGCAGAAGTATTATCGTTTAACTTTTAAAAGTTAAACTTACATATTAATGCAATACTTAAATGCAGCGATCAATTTTGAGTTCTTCTGTAGTTCATTGTTGCCTATTGTATCTACTCCTCTATACCTATTGTGATGAAGGCCCAATCAAGAACCTTCCACAGAACCTAGCTTAAATGCCACCTGATAGAACGGCTTTTAAGTTAGTGTTCAATATGTGATGACAGAAATACTTGGTTTGGTGCCTAACTGCATATTAAGGCTACTGGAGTAGTTTTGGCTCCATAGTTATATATGCAACCAGTCTAGGAGATAGAAAACTCTTATAAGAAAATACTGAGGTGTGTTGTTTATTTAGTTTGTGGCAAACTTTTGCACCAAGCATTTCCAAAAATCTTGCACAAGCCTTCACAACTTTAATCCAATTTCTGTGTAGGTAGTTTGGCAATATATTCTGTTTTCTATCCTCTCTCTTTCTCAAAGTTCACTAGTGAGAAGATAGAGATGGGGGACAAGCAAAGGATATTACTGGAAGTCCTTAGCTGGTGCCTTACACAGTAATGATTATCAGGTGATGGCCACTATATATATATATATATATATATATATATATATATAACTAATATTTATATGTGTGTATGGCAGAGTGGTTACAACATTTACTTTCTGACCATGAAACCTGGGTTTGAATCTTATCCTGGTTGATGCTATCAGTCAGGGTAAGCAATCCCAGCATGTAGAACCTTTAGAAAGTGCCTGAAAACCAGACTATGGGTTGATACAAGCCTTGTGAGTGAAATTAGGCAGATAAAATTGCTTGGAAGCTGTCAATAGTTTTGCTAGCACAAAGTCACAAGTCATTGTAAACAAAGCTTTGAGCCTACTGGTGGTGTTCAAACAACTGATCATGCCAGAAACTGTAACCAAGGTTCACTCAGCATAGTTGCAATAAAAACCACAGGTGAGTTCTGCAAGTGTTGAACAAACACAAATGTGCTGTGCCTGAGCAGGTGTCTGCAACAGGGATTAGCTAGCTGCATTAGCAAACAAGTTTACTTGGAAAATGAGCAGCCATTTATCATAAGAGGAAGGTACTGAAAAGTTCTCAGCCTGATCAAGAAGAGATTAAAAAATAATTCTGAAATTTGATCATATTTTGGGAGGTAGGTAATACCAAGAATTTTTCAGATCTTCTTCATATATATTAAATATCATTTCTGGAATACAAGGAATTGCTGGAAAATTCTTGGCTTGAACAAGAAGCTCTACCAAAAAAAAGAAAAATTATCTTTTCAATTGGTCAAACTTGGGAAGTTGGTTAAGCCAAGAAGTTTTCAGTAATCTCTTCTATTTCTTGTTCACAGTTTGAATGTTTTCTACTGTGTGTGCAGATATTTTTACTTGTTTTATCTTATGATCTGTATAATTGTTTTCAAATTCATTGTTTTGTTCTTTTCAGCTTCGAGCTGATTACCTTCGCTATTTGGAGACCCTCAACTTGATCACTGTTCTTCTTGAAGATATTTTCTCTTTGATCCCAGAAACATTGGTATCAGCTTACCAGTGCAGAAAAGATGAACTTTCAATAGCCAACATTGCTTTTAAGAAGAAACTTTCTTGTACATCAGGTAAAAACAAAAGCTTTCTTATCAAAAAACTCATCTTCACACTTCCACTGCTATGAATTCACAAAATTACTCACTAAAAGTGCTCAATAGTGCTATAATATTAAAAATCAGCAAAAGTTCAAGTGACTTATCTGGTTTGTTGACTGAAGAGTTTTGTACTAAAATACTTATCAGGACCAGATGTTGTTGTTGTCATTGTAATAGTTGTAGGAATAATGGTAGTAATAGTAATGGTAGTAGTAATGGTAGTGGTAATAGTGATGGTAGTGGCAATAGTGATAGTAGTAGTGATGGTAGTGGCAATAGTGATAGTAGTAGTAATGGTAGTGGCAATAGTGATAGTAGTAGTAATGGTAGTGGCAATAGTGATAGTAGTAGTAATGGTAGTGGCAATAGTGATAGTAGTAGTAATGGTAGTGGCAATAGTGATAGTAGTAGTAATGGTAGTGGCAATAGTGGTAGTAGTAGTAATGGTAGTGGTAATAGTGATAATAGTAGTAGTAATGGTAATAGTGATAATAGTAGTACTAATAGTAATGGTAATAGTGATAATAGTAGTACTAATAGTAATGGTAATAGTGATAATAGTAGTACTAATAGTAATGGTAGTGGTAATAGTGATAGTAATAATAATACCGGTAGTAGTATAGTAATAATAATAATAGTAACAATAATAGTAGTATAGTAATAATAATAGTTGTAGTAACAAGAGTTGTATAGTAATAATAGTTGAAGTAGCAATAATAATAGTAATAATGATCATAATAGTAGTAGTAGTAATAATAGTAAAAAGAAATAGTTATCAAACATCTAACACTGAGTAGTGTTTCAACACAAAACTCTTTAAGTCATTTGAACTTTTTTGGATTTATGGAGATACTTTTTAAATAGATGAAACAAATGACATGTTGTTTTTGAAGAGTTAAATAAAAATTCAAATTTAATTTTTCCAGATTTTGAAAATGTTTTATTTGCTTTTAATTTTCATTAATAAACTTTTTCGGATTTGGGTATGTATATATATATTCACTTTTTACAAAAAAAATCTTATTCACTTGGTTCTCTTGTTAAATAAAATGTAATAAAAATTGAAAGCTGTTAAATTTAGTTTTTTGCTGTTTTCAACCATTTTAATGTATCAATGTAATTTGTAAAAGTAAATAAATGTAAGTGATTCTTAGAAATACTTACAAACAACATCCACAGTGTTAGGGGTAGGGCTTCAGCACCTTTCTCTACACATACTTTTTACTAAAACTGAGATAAAAACACATTACTAAATTTGACCTCTTTGCCTCTGTCGATGCAATTCAGCTGAACTGTACTATTTCTTTAAAATCATTACTGCCATTAATTTTTAAAATAAAACAATTTTTTTTTAAATATTTTATAAATTTTCTATTCTATAAATCATATCTTTAGACTACATTCCAGAAAATAGGTACAAGTGAAAAGCAAAAACAATTGTATATTTAAAATCAAAACAAGGTTTACATTAGATAGATATAATCAGATTAAAAAAATATAGAATCGGGAATCTTTTAAAATTTAATATCTGACTTAGTTCAACAAACACTATTTTTTATGGTACCCTAATTGAACAGTAACAATAAACAAAGAAAACCTTTACCTCCAGCTCAGTGGTTCAAATCAAATAAGGCTTCACTTAATTTTATATTTCTATAAATCAATCAACCAACAAATAAAGTGACTTTGGCTCTTACATCTTCTTCATTCTATGCCATTTTAGGACATGGGTGATCATGTCTCTCCACAATATCCCTGTCTTTTGTAGCTCTTAGTAAATTTTGTCTTTTTGCTATCTCTCCTAAACCCTGTTCTTCCATCCAAGCTCATTCAGTAGGTTATGCACTGTTTTTAAGTCCTCATTATGTGCCTTAGTAATTTCAAAAAAATATCTTTTCAAATTATATCATATTTCATATCATAATGTGCACTTTTCTAAATCAAAATTAGCACCAGAAAGAAAATTTGTGCATAATACACAACAGGCACTCTTTTGATAGCATTCAAAGTAAGTCTGTCATGAGCCAACAAAATGTTCTGAAAGTGAAGACAATATTTGCACATTTGAAGATTTTTGAAGCAGTCAAATTTTCCAAGTTTTATTATTTTTTTTTCTTTGTGATTTAAATTGGATATCTTTTAATTTCACTAAGTGGGACATTTGAAGAATCTTTCTTATCTTTATTTTTTAGCTTGAAAATAAGAGAGCCCAGTATATAATATACAGAACATATATATTTAGGTAAATATGTCTGTGTAGAGAGAGAATGCAGTAAATGGCAGTAATCAGTTTTGTAATTGATATTATTTTTTTTTTTTTTTTTTTTTTTCATCTTAAAAAACTATAAACTTTGTTAATTTTTATTTTCATTTCCTTATTATCCATTGTTAATATTTTCCTACTTCTTTTTTTTTTTTTTTTTTTTTTTGTAGCTCCCTCCTCAGACAAGCTTCTCCAAAATGTGGCTTGTCTTATGTTTGAAGAAGCTCTTGAAACAATTCCTGCCACAGTTAGACAATGGTGGAGAAAACAAGACAGAGCATTTGCTTCTTTTATTGACAAGTAATTTCTCTTTTGTAAATTCTTAAAATGACTTTCTCTTTTTTTGATGTCTATGAGAAAAATAATGTATTTAATATTATAGAAGGATCCTATATTTACATTTAATATTACATTATGTGGTTAGTATAAATACAAGCACTGGTAATATTTGCCATCTGAGTAAACATTAGCTTACCAGATACCTCAAATTCACAACTTTTTTGTCAGGAGAAAAAAAAAAAAAATTGAAGTTGATATACCTTCAAATATTGAGTTTCTCTTTGTTGTTGAAGCCTTGTCTTACAATGAAAAACTTGAAACAGCCTATTTTTCAATGGTTGATAGGTTATATAATAATTTTGCTGGCCAAGAAAATGTTAATTTTAGAAAATATAAAAAAAAAAAAATTTAATTTCAATCTTATTAGTTTGACTCTTGTTGAAGAACATTGTCAGAGGTTTTGCATGTTATATGAAAAAGATAAGTAAACTATTTGATTATCAGGAAATTTACGAAAATGAATCTAACTTGAGCAAGAAATATTTTTTTTTTTTTAATTTTATATTTGTTTTTCTTCTCACAAGTTAACACTAATAAGCTTCACAAATAAAGAATTGAACCTTAGGCTTTATTGCATTAATTCTAATTCCTTATTCTTAGCTCTACTCTGAATTTTGTAAGTTCTGAAATACAGTCGGAAGACAAAGTAAATTTTTTTTTTGTTTTCATGTGTCAATTAAAAGATGCTAAGATGGTATAAAATTATTCCAATTTGTTTTTATTAAAAACATGTTAGTTTATGACCTGAATTTATTTGGAAGTTAAATATTAATGCTGCTTTTAAGTTGAATTGTGATACTGTTTGTTGTTGCTGTGGTAAAACTGAAGAAGCTTTTGTTAAAATATAAGAAAGTGTTATGACATTGAAACAAGAAGGGTTAATACTAAAAACCCGTATGAAGAATTGAGGATTTTAATTCACACATAAATGACTTGAATTGTATGTTGAGCAGTTTGAACAATGGAAAAGTGACCCAGACTTAGGGGGGCAATGTTGATTGACACATAGCTGCAAATGTGGGCTGGAAAGCAAAAGTAGATTTGTAAACAACTGAATTTGGAACTGAGTTTTCCTGGACTGAAAATGGTCATGGCAGCAGGCACAGATAAGACATCAAGGAGGATGGAGGAACCACCTACTCTCATTGAAGAGGTCGGTGAGAGAGGGAATTCCCCAAAGTTATGACATAAGCTGGAGGGGATTCAACGAAATGCTCCTACCTCGCCATGCCCCCATGCCAGTTTGGACAAAGGTTCATAAATATGAATGCGAAAACTCAATTGAGGAGAAGTGATGGAGACAAGACCAGAGACAGGAGAGAGGCCCATGTGATTATCTGCCAACAAAAGCCTCCAACTTCAGCCTTGTGCTAAACTTTACTAAAGCAACAAACTTGACTTTGCCAAGTCAACAAAGATAGTATCACTTCCAATTTAGAAGCAGGTTGGGCTGATAATTAATTGCATGCAAACTCTGATATAAACTAATTAATGTTTAGAGGACTGATATAAAAACAGTATTTACTTTTGCTCAATTTATTTGAGTGCTATTTTTTTTCCTGTATGTCATCACTCTACTTGGACCAGCCCAACACAATGATACCTGCAACAATTCAATCTTTGCTGCCTTATGATCAAACTTATATCACAACATGGGATAAGGTTAGCACTGGATTGAAGCAGTCACTTCAGCAACCAGCCGTAGTGTTGGAAATCTTGGTTGACTGGGGAGGGTATTGTACGGTTACAGAATTACATGTGTTATGAATTGTTTGAATAGGGATGTGCAAATGTTTTTGTTAGATTGTTAATCTGGGAAAGAACTCTGAGTAGAAATAAGTAAACATCTATTTTATGGTCACATCACACTGAAAACACTTCAGTCTCCAAAGTTGGAAGTTGCGACCATTAATTGTACTTAAAGTGCAACTGAAAAATACTATGATTGCTAAATCTAACTCTTAAATCTAATATTCATTTGAGGATTACTTTTCAAGTATGAACTGAGTTCTCTGAGCCGCTAGCATATTTTATATAGAGAAAAACATTAAAATTCCCTTCCTTTCTGTTATGTGATGATGACCTAGGGGTAAGATATCTGACTGATATCAAATCAGTCGGGTTTTGATCCTGGCTTGAAGCAATTGGATGTCTAGCTACTCTGAGGAGCTGTGATACAGCAAAACAGTCTGTGGATCACCCCCCACACACACACACACACACATATATATATATATATATAAATATATATAATTGATATATATATATATATATATATATAAAATCATAAGATACCATTATGTAAATGATCATTTTCACCTTGTAAAATTAAATTTACAGGATTTTTCATCCAGTCAATGGATGATAAATTTTTGAAATAAACAAACCTAGACAAGAGGTAGGAAAGAAAGGAAGAAAAACATGGGGGAAAAAAGATGGAGAATAGAAAGAAAGGGAAGGTGGCAAAAGAAACAGGAAGTGGTATAAGTTTTGATATGAGTGGTGGTTAGAGGGGAAAGGAAGACAGAAAGAGAAGGATAGGAGAGAAAGAGATGACCTATTTAATATACCCAGTAGAAATAGACAGTAGATAGATCAAATGAACCTTCAGAAATAAATGAAAAAAACAAATATTATATAAAATAATGAGTGATAAACCCAAAAATATGAAAGAGCAATAATTCAGAATTAACGAGTATTAAATTAACAAATATGTCTGAAAGAATATTAAGGGAAATATAAAAAAAATTTAATATAAATATATATTAATATATTTAATATAGCCTCTTTCCCTCTCCCCTTATTCTTAAGGCACTTTTCATTCATTTTTTTCCAGTTTTAAGGGTTTTTTTTTTTATATTATATATTAAATTTCAAATATAAATGTTTTTCCTTGTGTATTGGTATTAATTAATATAAATTTAATCTGATATATGTTAATTTTTATGTATTTATCCTATGATATTTATTCCCCCCTTTTAAATTTAAAATATTAATTTTTTTTTTTTTATTTCTGAAGGTCTACTGGGTATATTAAATAGATTATCTCTTTCTCTCCTTTCCTTCTCTTTCTCTCCCCTCTAACCACTACTCATATCAAAACTTATACCACTTCCTGTTTCTTTTACCACCTTCCTTTTCTTTTCTATTCCTCATCTTTTTTCCCATGTTTTTCTTCCCCTTGTCTATTTTTTTTTTTTTTTTTATTTATCATACATTGACTGTTTGAAAAATCCTGTAAATTAAATTTTACAAGGTGAAAATGATCATTTACATAATGGTATCTTAATTCCAATTGTATGAAATATATTGCTCTGTTTATTATAAAAACACTGAGTTCTATGTGTGAATCAGTTTTAATATTGTGTTAATAGGATTCATTTGGATTATATACTAAAGTATTACTACCTGTGTGTGTGTGTATGTAATATATACACACACACACACACACACACTGAGGTCAACACCAAGTGGTGACAGTATGTTTCAGTTGATGGCCTGAAGATTGCATGAAAAAGACTGTCACCGCTTAGTGCTGATCTCGGTGTCCAATTTTATATTAACATATGTACAATCTCGGATATTGAACACTTTTATACGTAAATATAGCATACCTTTAAAATTATATTTTATTGTGTGTGTGTGTGTGTGTATATATATAAAGAGAGAGAAATACCATAGCTTACCAATACTGTCAAAAAAATATGGTAACTTTGCAATTGTGTTGGTTATATTTCTGCATGGGTAATTTAGAATGTTTATCTATACAATTAACTCTATTGTCACATGTAAGAAAGAATTCTGATTTTTAAAGCATTAAAAGTAAATCTGTTTAAAGATACCTAACATGAAATAAAAGAAGTAAAAAGCATTCTATTAACAGCCTGATCTCCCCTACCTACTAATGGGATATTCTGTTCTTATGCTAACATGAATCATGTTCACTTATTTGCATTGTGTAATGTTTCCTGTTACCATAACAGTGGAATATCTCAAATTGATATGGGTGTTTATTAATTATTGCTCTCATTTTTCCTCCTAAGTGAATTTTCACATGAAAGATTCACCAAAGGTGACACCAAAAATCAAATCTTGGATGCCTTAAATTCTATTTTCTTACAGTATTTACCATAACCTTCAAAGTTTCACAAACCCATAAAAACAATTTTGGTATATATTTTTTCCCTGTTTCCTATGTCCTGCAAAATATTTACATATTTAATATGTATTTGCTGTATTCTGCAATGGAAACGTTATGAAATGTTTGATCTTTTGTTTGTTTTTTCCAGCTTCACCAAACTGTTCATCAGTCCTGTGCTCTGCAACAAAGAGATTCAGAATATTCTTAGCCTGGATATGAATTTGGAAAATATTGTGGTAAATCAATCTTCTTGCTTGTTTATATAATGAGATTTGATTTCTTTTTATTTGTGACAAAATTCACAGCAGAAAGAATTGAGAGATCTGAGTGTAAGAAACTGTTTATCGTTTGAACTTATTTTATGATTTTAAATAACATTGTTTAAAAGTAAAAATATATACAAGAGATGATAAAAGTATAAAAACATATTAAATTTCTTGAATTTGTCAGGCAAATCATTTCCAATGTTTTAGATTTACACCATTTCTGGGCCAAATTCACAGTTTCAGATGAAATTCGCAAAATCTCTGTTAGTTTTGCCTTTCAAACATATTCAAAACATGGTTACTGCTTAAAATTACACTACTAGGATTGTTAAAAAAAATTATTTTTCTTCTTCTTTATGTGATGTGTTCCTTCAGGATGTAGGCGATCATGGATCTCTGCAACTTTCTATCCTAGCAATGTTACATAGAGATGCATGTTTGGCCCTCCTACTGCCTGTTCTGATATCCATTTACACAATCCAATTAGGTAGGTTATTCACTGTTTCCCACTGCCATACTTGCCTTAAATATGCTCTGTGAGTGTCAAATTCTTCAAGCCATCTTTTCTTATGTGCCCTAGAAATTTCAGTTCTCGTTTTGATTATAAATACATGTCCTTTTTTATTTTTCTCCCCCCCCCCATTTTCCTGAAAACATCCTTCTTGCTTACATGTTCTGTCCATGGCATTGACAACATCCTCCTGTATAACCATATCTGTTGCCTAAAGTTTCCTCTTCATCTGACAAATCTGTCCAGTATTATTGGTTCCAATCTGCATAGGAATGATCACTAAAAATATCCCCTCACTAAATTTATAGACAAATTATACAGATGTATGCTGGGACTTCCATCCTTATATATAAGACGCAAAAATGAATCTTGATCTTTGGCATTAAGGCAGACAGATAAAAGGTTATTTTGGGGGTTCTAGGGATTGAAGTTAATTAACTTTTTTTATACTGATTTTCTAAGCATAGATTAGATGTGGCACAAGGCCGAAAGTAAGGAGACACCTAGTGAGAATCAAACTCACTACTCAGTCGTAATTGTTCTAGTGAGACAAGCTTACTAACCATTACACCACCTCGAGATGGCCAACTTTTTTTTTACATACAGTTATTGATAGGGGTTACATTCCTAGAGCACCCACAAAGAGTGAAAAAACTGTGAATATTGCTTAGGGACCATAAAACAGTCAAACCATCCCTTGCAGGCTTGGAAATCTTCAGGCTCCAGTGCTGTTGATGTTCTTGGTTGCAGTTCTTCAGTGCCTTCTGCTTCATCTGGTATAATTTCTGTACTTTCTCACAGAGATGTTACTTTCCAAGGAGATGTTTATCTTCTTGCAGTCACTGATCCAAAATGCCAAGGCAGATTCCACCCTGATATTATGCTTATTTCTCATTGTCATTACCCTTTTGGCACTTTCACAGAAAATTAGTGCTATGGTCTGGTACTCTTGATCACTGCCTTGTTCTTCTTTGTCATTTATGGGGCTTTCATTGATGCCATAATGGTGACCTACTGCAGAATAACTTCCCAGTGCATATCCATCACTTGTACCTTCACCTGGAGCGTCATAACCTTTTTCTGGCACTTAGGTTCATTGCCAGAAGCTTTAAGAGGTGCAGGGCATTGGGTGGCATCTTAGAGCTTTAGGAAACATCCTGCAAAAAACACAACACTCGGAGAAACACTTGAGATAGTTACACAAATTAAACTGGGATGATGCTGGGCTGTATCTGCCCGAGACAGCACCTTGTGGGCAGCACCCAATCAGCAGCAAGGAGAAATGAATAACGCTCTCAGATTAGGTACTTTCAAACCTTCAACCAATAGTGTTTATTTTATATTCATATTTTGCTGAGTTATTGTTAGTATTTATATTACAAAATAAGTAAATTATATTGTTATTAATAATTTAGCATTTAAAAAACATAAAAAAAATATATATATATTGCCATGAAAAACGCCATAATAAATTGCGGAAGATATTTGTGATTCTGCAAATATTTTGGGGTTTCCACAAATAATCATTAGTTAGGTTCTAAGAAAAATTCTGCAAATAACCAAAGCCGTAAATTCCTAACCACAATCATTTTCAGAATACTATTATCAAAAAAAAAATCTTGTCTCCTATTGTTTTCACAAATACACATATATATTTGGTTGAATTATTATTTATTCATGCCAACAAATCAAGAACAATCTATAAAATAGAATATACCAATTATAAAAAATTAATCGAAAAAGGTAAATAAAGTTTTACATAACTACTAATAAAAATAACAAATAAAGAAGCAAAACACATAGCAATCAAACTAAAATTAGGTAATAGAATTAAACAATTAAAAAAAGTAGAACCATTCATTAAATTAAAAGATCACAAAGACAATTTTTTAAATAAACCAACATGTAGTCTATTAAATCCTACAAAAACTAATATCAGAAAAACAAGCAAAAAAATAGTAGAAAACTTATGTACGAAACTAAAAAATACTCAATATAAACTAATAGAAAAATACAAAAGAAGCTCTTTTATACAATTAGATATAAAAGACTTTTATCCATCTCTTACTAAGCATATATTAGATAAAACATTAAATTTAGCAAACCAATACTTAAATATTCAAGATGAGGAATTAAATATCATTAATCATTGCAGAAAATCGTTACCATTCTACAACAATAAAATATGGATAAAAAAGACAAAATAACAACAAAAATGAGAACTTTGACATAATGGGCAGTTATGATGGTACAAAAATGTGAAATCACAAGCATATATATCTTTAAATAATTTATCAAATATTATTAATAAAAAGGATATATGTTTATATAGATGATGGTCTAATAATGGGAGAAAAATAGAAAATATATGAAAACAAATAATAGAAATATTTAATAAATTAGGATTTAAAATAGACATAAAATCTAACCTAAAAATAATAAATTTTCTAGACATAAAATTTAAAAAAATAATATATACAAACCATATAGGAAAGCAAATAATAATCCACCATATATAAACAAAAATTCAAATCACCGTCATAATGTATTTAAATATGTACCAATATCTATTAACAAAAGAATAGCAACTAATTCTAGCAATATAAAAATATTTAATGAAAATAAAAGATATATGAATCAGAATTAAGAAAAAGTGGTTATTTGACTAAATTGGAATACATAACTAAAAACAACAACAACAACACACACAAAACAAAAGAAAAAGAAACATAATCTAGTTTAACCCTCTTTATAATAATATAATAAAAACAAAAATATGAAAAATTGAAAAAACTTCCAGAAAAATAGTAAACTATCAAAAGTCATTAACAAAAATACAATAAAAATCAGTTATAGTTGTATGAATAATATGGAGAAAATAATGAATAAACATAATAAAAAAATATATTAAATAAAAACAATAGCAATTATAATAACAAACATTTGCAAAATAGCAATAATAATAATTGTAATTGTTGAAATAAAAATAACTGTCTACTTAATAATAAATGTTTAGCTAATAATATATAAAGCAATTGTATAAAATAATAGCAACACAGAAGAAAGGATTTACATATGAGCAACTAAAACCACTTTTAAAGAAAGATTTAATAATTATATCATGTCATTTAATATCGATAAATACGCAAATAGTACAACATTATCAAAATATATATGGAGTCAAAGAACAAAATAATATACCTATTAAAGTTAAATGGGAAATTATTAAAAAAACGTACCCACATGTAATATTACCAATAGGAACTGTAGACTGTCTTTGGAAGAAAAATTATCAATACTAACTTTTAATAATTATTAAATAAGAAGAATGAAATAATGGGTTGATAGCGACATATTAACAAATATTTACTTTGTTACTTTAATAATAATATAACATAATAAATCAATTAATATATTAATTAAAAATATTAACTAAAATATTATGATTTAATTAATAATATAGCATAACAATTTCTATATAAACCATAAAAAAAAATTCAATTTTGAAGAAAAGATTTAAAACTGTATGGAAGATCTACAGCTGAAAAGATGAAAGGTGTAAACAAAAGCAAAATTTCATGATAGTATGGGTGTAAGAGAATGTTAAATTCATGAATACACACATGTAAAAATGGAGTAAAAAGTGGATTGAAAAATGCAGAACAAATTGAAAAAAATTCAAAATTTGAAATACTGTTTAAAACCACAATTCCTGAAGACTGGGACTTCAAAATCAGGATAAAAACTGATATTTTTCATATAATATATATATATATATATCTCAAATCTGTAAGTGGAAAGGCTAATCCAAGTGGTTCGTTTTAATATTGTATATTAAGAAGATAGATACATAGAGCTCAATGTATAGACTACAGAGCAATATGATATACATCAAGGAAAAGCTTAACACATCACAAAAATATGATTCAACTTACATTAATAAGGAGCAATTAAAGTAATAATATCAAATCCCTAAGTGGAAAGGATAATCCAAGCTGTTCGTTTTAGTGTGTGTGTGTGTGTGTGTGAATGCAATTGATAATTGTGAATTTTTTTGTCTTAGCAATCCACCCCTGAAGATGATCTTGGATGAGATTGAAAGTACTCTGGGAAAATAAAAGAAATAGCTAAACTACAGTGTCTGTCTTACTCAGTTTTGTAGCTGCACGAAGAAACTGATCTCTGAATTTGAGAGGATTAAAACAAAAATAAATAGATATATGTCTAGATTATTCAACTAAACATGCTTTAATGAACATATGGTGCCTATATATATATAGTGGACTTGTTGCTCAGGTGGAATAGCAAAAAAGGAACACAAAGCTGAACTGCCGACTATCCACACAGAAGATTTGTTTAGAATGGTGAAGGCTTGTGTAGAACCAGCCACACTTATTGGAAGTGCTAATAACAAGGAGTTGGTGCAAATATTTGCCATGAGCAACACCCCTCATGTTTTGTTATCACAGAGTTATACCTCTCCGGTACTACCAGTGCACAGAAGGGTGCAGCACCTTTCAATGGTAATTTCACGTGATTTAGCCTGCTTGCTGAAGTGGTTTACAGGGTTTGGCATGTGGAGATGGGTGAAGACCAGTGTTGCCCATCCATCTTAATAATAAGAGCAGCAGCTGAGTAACAAAGGTACTACTTCTACCCACTGCCACCTACACACATAGTTGTTGTTTAAAAAAAATTTAAAAGCTAAATAATAAAACAAATTGACTAGTAGTAAAAATGAAACAAAATAACGTTATAACTGGGAATGCGTTTTCAATAAAATTGAAATTACATTAATTAATAAATAAGAAAATGTAAAGAATTAAAATTCGTACTAAATGTTGTAAAAGAATCTTTGAATATAACTAATAATAGATAAAAGAAATTGGCAGTAATGAGCCACTAGTCAGATAAACAAAATAAACATTACAAAAATGCTTTCCTCTAATTCTGAAAATTATGACCACTTTCGTAAAAGCAACAACAAATAAATAAATGTTATGCTTAGATATAAATAGATTAAAATTATTCATGCCAATATATAATTAATCTGACAAAAACAATACATTAAATGTTCTTAATATATATAACTCTTAGCGAGAAATTTCGCTTGCGAAACAACTGTTTTAAAATAAAAATCATTGTATACCACAACTAAAGAGAGACAATCATGTACGAAAAAACTATAAAATACGTATATTAAATATTGTAAATGAATAACATAACTAAATATTATAATAAGCAAGAAAATATAAGAATAATGTATGATTAAAATAAAAACAATCAAGACTTTCCTTAACATCACTTTCTTAGAGCCATGAAAAAAAACACGTCTGTTTACTCCGACATCAACATTCTTTAGTATTTTTATTTTTAAAAAACAGTGCTTGATACAACAGTAGAGCCTATATTGTATTTATAATATCTATATCTATATATATATATATATATATATATAAAAATTCATTTTACAAAGATGTTTCAGTTTAATAAAAGTTTTAAACATGGAAAGTCCTTTGTAGAAAATTTTTATCATTGATTTGCAAGCTGGGTGCAGAGATGTACACTTTGCTCATTACTTTCTTTTTTTTTTTTCTTTTTTTTAGATCCGGGCACGTTCTACAAGTAGGGAAATTGTTGCTGTATACACAATGGATGATGTTAGCATTGAAATGGTTATTGCCCTCCCTGACAATTACCCATTAGGCAGCATTAGTGTCCGAAGTGAACAGAGGAAAGGTATTTCCAACTCCATATCAAAAAAATGGTTGCTCCAATTAAACCTTTTCCTTCAACACCAGGTAAGTTCCACTTTCAACAAGATATATGAGTTCAATTTCTTTCAGGTATTTTATATATCTGTATGATTTATCTAAGGCTCTCATGTTGCTGGATTGTGTTTTAAACAATTTAGCTATGTATGAAATAGGAGAGGCTCTCGAGCCTTGGGTGGCAGCCAGTCTAGAAGGAATTCAAAACCATGGAAAAGGCAATAGGAATTCCCCTTCACTATCTTTCCCAAGAAGGCATGGCAGTTCCCAGATGAAGAAATGAAATCTGTGGCGAGCCATGATCGTATACATCCTGTATTGAGAAAGACAACTCTGGATTCAAAACTATGAAAAAGGCAGTAGCAATCCACTCCAATATCTTTCCAAAGATGTCATAGCAATTCCCAGATAATAAAGAAATGGAATCTGCAGAAAGCCATGGTCACCTACTACTTGAAGGGATATTGTATTTAAAAAAAATGTCATTTCATTTGGCTGTTTGTCTTGTATCACTGGCTGGTAGGAGTTATTGGATAAATTCATTAAAAGTTTTCATTCATTCTAATAATCACATATAAAAGGGGCTACTGAAAAGAAAGAATTCCAAAATAAATTCTGATATTTGGTCTGATTTGGAAAATGGGTTGGGCTGAGAACTTCTCATCAATATCTGGTTAGGCAGTGGAAATTAAACAGACATGATTGTATTTTAGTGCCAATTTCATTTGGTCTTTATATACATGAGCATAGTTTGGGCTTTTTTTTTATTTCTTTTTAATTGCTTCCTGCTGTATTTACCACTAATCTATTACTCCCTATCTTAGTTGTAGTCATCGCTGACAATATTTCTAAAGTAGGAAAGAAATAAAATTTGGTGATTTTAAATTAACAGATTTTACAATTTGGGGCTTAGAATTTGTTTAAGTACTGTATATTGTATAAAGTATTATCAATGTTCAGGAATTAATAAAATGTGTTACTGCTAGAATATGACTACTATAAGTATAATTATTATTTAATATCAATATTTTACTAAAATAAATGTGTTGTACATGATTTTACTATAGAAATACAATGAAAATAGGATCAAACTATAATAAAAATAAAAAATTAAATAAGAAATTAATATTGAATCTAAAAGGCCTGTTTTTGTTTTGTCTCTTTTTAGAATGGCAATATTATGGATGGTCTGCGATTATGGAAGCGAAACATTGATAAAAAGTTTGAAGGTGTTGAAGAGTGCACCATTTGTTGCTGTGTTGTACATGGCACAAATTTCCAGTTGCCAAAGATTCAGTGTAAAATCTGCAGGAAGAAGTTCCATTCTATTTGTTTGGTAAGTTTTGTTCTTCCTTTCATATTCCAAAAGAATTGAAAATTAAAATACAGGTTGGTGCTGATAAACTGCAGTAGTTGGGGTCCAAAACTTCTATCCATGGTTTAGATCAAAAGTGAGCTGCGATGTCAGGATTGCCAGCTTAGACCACCAAAACAAGACTTGTCAAGTCCATGGAGTTATCCGCAAAAATGGCTAACACTAGCTAAGCATGCAAAATATGTATTCAATACTAAGAGTTGAATACTGGCATTTTTAAAAAAAACAATTATTAAAACTATCTTGTGTTATGTCATGGTGCTTCTTCCACTTTCTTAACAATCCACCAGTTATGCTGAATTCAGGATCTGCATTTTCACCATGAAGTTGTTGATGTATTTTCTTGGCCTGGGATTGTATAGTGGGCCCTGACATGGGTATCCTATTATTTCTAGTTTCACAGAACATGTTAAATTAAATGTTGCTTTGTAAAGTCCAGGATCCCTGGCAGTTCTGGCCTTTTTCCTCTTCAAACCTCCTTCATGGAGTGCATCTAAAAAAACTTTGTAGCTTTTCTTCATTTTTGATCCAACCTCTCAATGTAGATTCTGAGGGTGCAAAAAACATGAACACCTACTGTTTTAAAATTGTTATAACTTTTTTGTATTGTGTGTATAGATTTTATTTTTTGTACACTAATAAAAGAATGGATGAGTAATATTTTGATGTAATGCATTATGTTTTGCATGCATGTTTTGATATTGAAAACAAAAAAATTGAAATGTGAAATAAAAAAAACAAATAGATTAAAAAAAACTAAAAAGTCCTGAATAAAGGCTCCATTTGATATTGACACGGCCATTTTTGTTTTATAAAAATCGGAAAAAAAATTAACGAGGATTTAATCAGTGTTACGCCACATGTAGAGTCTAGAAGAATACAAAATGGAAGTTTAACCTTCTTTCAAAGAAGTAGTAGATGATTTCCAGCTTAAAATACTGGAAATAACTGTTTGCAAGTGTTTATTTATAGAAACCGTCTCAAGGCAACAGAATGTGCTTCGAGTAGCAAAGAGAGAAAATTCTATGGCGACAGTTGTCACCTGCAGCATGGTAATGGTTTAATGACACTGACCTGTATTCTGCATCTGCATTTTTATCTTAATGAAAAGATTTCTATTATAACACTTACACAAGAATAAAAACACACACACTGTAACTACTTATGTCACATGTTTGGTTTGGTTATTCTTCTGCTTAACAACCCATCAACCACTATAGGGTTATTTAAGGCCAGATAAAAGTTTTGAATCATGGTTATTTTGAGTATAGCTTCATCTTATATGTGAATCAATGATAGTTTTGGATATAGGTTAGTTGGTGAAAGTTTTTTTTTTCTTTTTAATCAGTTATTAGAGATGCTGGTTATTTTGATTTCTGATAAAAGTTGCTTATTAGAGTTTGCATTATTTCCAATGCAGATCTTTATAAAGTCTGAAGTGTTTTTTTTTTTTTTCAAAATATATTAATTGTTTTATGTATCTTTTTGGGAGTTTTTATAGTTTTGTATAAAGCTTGATTTCAGTTTGATTTAAAGATATTGTTTGGTTTTGTGTTTTGAAAGTTCTATTTTATTGTTTGCTTGATAATATTTTGTTTGGGTTTAACTGAAATGATGGCAACTTATGAGTATATGTTCGACTGAAACATCTGTTGCATTATGGAGGAGTTTCATTATTTAGTAAATGCAAGTGTGTCAGATGTGTATGTCTTATTTGGAGTCTGGATAAAACTATTTCCTGCCATCTTTCTGAAACCTGGGAGCCATAGTTGGTTGAAATTTATATAGTTTTGAGTCCTGTGGTGGATTGGTATTTTTTTTTTTTTTTTTCGGTATCAGAAGATGGTAATGTCATTGGTCCACAATAAATAACACAAAAACTTGGAAAATTAAGGGTCAATTTTTTATTGGCACACATGTGTGTACTAACTTGAAGGTAAGAGAGTGGTTGATCTCAAGTCAACAGGACATTGAGAGAGGATGACTGAATTCCCTCTCCTTAGGACCTCTGCAAAATATGTCCGAATCCAATGATTCGAAAGTCTCGAGCCTAGATGATCTCCTTTCCAGAAGTGAGTGACAAATTTTGTACATGACCGGAAACACTTTTTTTGGTTTCCATTGGCATTGCGATAAAATGAAATTATGTATTTTTTTATTATTATGTTTATTATTTATTTTATTTAATTTTTTTTTCTTCCACAATGCATCCCCACCCAGAAGTGGAGCTGTACAAATACATTCTTTATTAAAAATATATAAATTAATTTTTTCAGAAAATGTTACATGTCTTCCTGAGCATGTAACATTTTCTAAAAGAAATTAATTTATATATTTTTGATAAATAATGTATTTGTACAGCTCTGCTTCTGGGTGGGGATGTATTGTGGGAGAATGAAATTATTTATTTTTTTTAATTATTATATATTTTATTTATTATTTAATTTTCATTCTCCCACAGACCCATATTGTTTCCCATATGTTCTTTTTATTTTATTTCTGAACATGTAACATGTGATATCCCAAGTAAGTCTTTACTCTAATGTTTAAATCTATGCAATAAATAGTTATAATCACAGTTGTATTTTAATACTGACTAGCTATCACTGCAGACACCACTACCAATGCCACAGTTCTCCTACATCATCTAAAAAATGCTGCCAACCATGTTGGATTCTGTCAATGCCACTAAAACTGAATTCATAGGCTTCAACTAGCAAGACCCAATAAAAACTGTCTTAGGAGACTCAATAAAATCTGTTGAATCTTTTACATACCCAGCAAGTCAAATAAATTCTACTGAAAAGGATGTGAAAATTCACATAGCTAAAACCTGGGCTGCCTTGAATAAAATGAATGTAATTTGGAAATCTGATTTACTAGAAAACCTCAAAGCAGAGATTTTTTTCAAGCCATTGTAGAGATGGTTTTAATGTATAATGCCACTGCTTGGACATTAACTAAAACCCTAGAGTTTAAACTTGATGGAACCTACACTCAGATGCTGAAAGTTATACTTAACATCTCTTGGAGACAAAATCCAACTAAATCACAGACCCATCCCTAATATTTCTACAATCTTACACAAATGCAGAATGTGATTTGTAGGACACTGCGAGCAAGTAAAACAAGAACTTGTGAGTGATCTACTGCTCAAGACACCTAGACATGGAGCAAGATGGATTGGTTACTCAGCAACCACAAACATTGGCCAGCTATGTTTAATGACCTTCTAACTTTGATGCAAGACTGTGATGGTTGGCGTGATAGATTCATAAATGTCCGAGCTAGCTCAACTGAATAATACAGTTATTTTCTACATTAATGAACTAAATATTTCTAGCAGTAGAATGGGGAAAATATTAGGTAATTTTTTTCTTTTCTTTAGCTACAAAATGACATTTCAAATGATTTTATGATCAGGAATTAGGACAAGTATTATTGACGGAACAGAGCAATTAAATGTATAATTATAAATTTTCTCTGTCAAAATACTATAATGACAAGTGTGGAGGTATGCAGGATAACTCAACACCGCCAATATTTTTACTTTATTAAAAAGTAAATTTCTTTACAATTTACTTTATTAAAATAATTAAAACATATTCACTAATTAAGGTTTTAATCAGTTATAAAAAAAGTTATGTTTTTCTAGTGCTGAGTTGTCTTGGCACTCAGTCAGCAGTGTTGAGTTGTTCCTTCCTGGTGTGGAGACTTTCTTCTTCTTTTTTATGTGCCATATTCCCTCAGGACATAGGCAATCATGGCTCTCCACAACTTCCTGTCCCTTATAGCTCTTGATAAATTTTGTTTTTCTGTTATTTCTTCTAAACCTTGTTCTGCCATCCATTTAGCTCACTAAATATGTCATGCATTGTTTTCCTGTCTATCTTGCCTTCACTCTGTCCTGTTAGTATTAGATTTTCCAAGTCCTCTTTCCTCATTATGTGCCCTAGAAACCATAACTGTCTCCTCCCGATGTTAAGTATAAGTTTCCTTTTAGTTTCCATTTTCTCTAAAACTTTGTCATTGCTGACATGTTCAGACCCTGCTATACTCAGCATCCTTCTGTAGAACCACATTTCTATTGCTTTGAGCATCTTTGAGGAGATTGTCCAGTATTCACTTCTATACAGGAAGACAGATATCATGTAACAAGTGGGTACTCTTTTCCTTGTTTCTAGTGAAGTTTTTTTGTATTTCTTAGTACTCTGCTTAGCTTTGACTATCCCAATATGACTTCGGATTTCAGTGTCCCACTTTCCATCTTCTGTTAAAACACTTCCCAGATATTTAATTTCTGCACTTTTTTGATTTTGGTATCTCCAATTTGCAATTCACACTTTGGGCTCATCCATTTGCTAATAGCCATGTATTTTGTCTTCCTTGCAGTTGATGTTTAATCCTTTCTTCTCACTTTCCTTCACTACCTTCTGTAGGAGTTTTTGTAGTTTTATTTGTGTCCACTCTCAACACTGTGTCATCCACATTAACACTGTGGGCACCAATAATGAATCCTGGTAGGACTTCTAGTTCTTTCAGAATCACCTTGCTGTATAGGTTGAATAAGTCCAGTGATAACACACATCCTTGTCTTACACCCGTTTCTATTTTTGTATATCTGCTAAACTCTTCTTTTTATATGCAGTTTGTTTGCTGTCAGTAGAGGTTCTTGATTATTCAATATCCTTCCTAAATATATCACGGTTGCTGAGCAGTTCCAATAAATCTTTGTGGTATACTTTATCAAAAAACTTTACATAATCTATAAAACACAGGTAGGCATCCTTCTGCATTTGTATTGAGCTTTCTGATATCATTCTGAGCATAAATATCATGTTCCTTGTTCCATTGTCTTTGGTGAACCCGCACTGTTCCTGTCCTACTTCCAGTCTGGGAAAAATAAAAAGGGTCTTTTTCACCAAATCATGTTTGGCTTTAGATAATTTTGAAAGGTGAATGTGCACTTTTTCTTCTTTGATGTTGTAGCTAAGTCTTCTGAGACTTATGATTTTTGTTTTACAATCTTTCTTTTAAGGCTTGCATATATCTTTCTGATACTTTGGTCAAAGCAAATTCAGTAAATTTTAAATAAAAAAAATACTCTTTTTTTATATATATATATATATATATATATATATATATATATATATATATGCACACACTCGACTCTCCCATTGAATTCGATGTATTAGGGTCAAGCAGATTAGTTCCTAGGAACCAATAACCTGACACCAGCACGAGATTTGATTATAATGGTGAAGGTTTTGTGCCAAACCATCTACCCTTTTTGAAGGGCCGAATTCAGAGTTATCCTTCTCCTAGACCATTTGCCATCCAAGGCTATAGAACCCAGTCTGTCTTGCTATTTACCCATAGCTGGAGGGAGAAGAGGATGATTCATACCTTTCCCAAAGGTATTAGCACACAAGTGAATGTAATGGATTCGATTGGAATTTGAGCTCAGTTCTCAGATTCCTCAATCCAAGCCGCTATCCATTACTCCACCGTGCCTTATATATATATATATATATATATATATATATATATATATATTTCACCAAGCTATGGGCTATATATCAGAGTAGACTGGGCTCTCTTGCCTAAATTCAAAACTGTATGTAGCCTTAGCAGGTTATTTAAATACAGAAAACATTTTGGAGATAATGATTTAGTGATACAAGTTTTATTAATTATCCTATAGCTAGCGGGGGGAGAAGAGGTAAATTCACACTTTACCCAAGTTTATTTGCATGTAAGTGAATATAAAAAAAACAACTAAAATTGGAACTCTGTTCTTCAATTAACAATTCCAACCCATTACACCACCTTACACTTACAGCACTTGTTATTTCCAAGTAGTCAACCATCTAGGTACTGATCAGACTTGACATTGCTTAACTTTAGTGATCATATGGGAACTGGTGTTTCAACTTGATATGGCTGTAAGCCAATCTCAGTTGTGGTTGATCTATAGCTGTGTCAATGTATTATTATTATATGCTTTTGTACTGATGATCTGAAAGTGAAATAATTGATATAAAGCAAAACCTTAAATATCACTTTGTTGTTGGTTTATTTATTTGATATTTTGACATTTTTTTCTATGTATTTTTTTAAATGGTAATAATTCTTTTTTTTTTTTTTTTGTTTCCAGTATAAATGGTTCAATGAAAGCCAAAATTCCAGTTGTCCCCTCTGCCGGACTCTCTTCTGATCAATCCATCTTCCTGTCTTTACACATAACATTTTTTTTAAAATTTCCTCAGTGAAAAAAAATATGTTGAACAATTCTAAAATTGTATATAACAAAAAATTAAATAAAGTTAATGATGTTAAATTAAAAAAAAAGTTTTGTTTTATTGCCTTCTCAGATTTTTCCCCTTGTTTATAGGTTTTGAATCTGTAAAAATTATAAATATTAATTTCAGTTTTGGTCATAATGCTCTGAAATGTATGGCTAAAAATCTTTTCCTCCTTAAAACTAGAAATTGGTTTTAAACACAAAGAACTGACACATAATTGGATTTGGATTCAAAAAGAAAATAGCTTTATTTCTGATTATTAAATTGAATGTATATGGAAACTGTTAGATAAACATTATCAGAGGTTAGTCTTGTGTGATTCATACACACACAGATACACATGTGCGGTGGGGGGGGGACTTAAGAAAGTGATATTAAGATCACTTGGTCTGTTTGCATTGAAATGTGAAATTGACAGTCACTATTATGCATTGTTAATTCCTATGTCCACAGCACTCTTCACTATAAATATAGCAAATGTTAAACCTTGTATTACTTTAAACGGAATTTTTAGTAGATACCCCTATTTGAATAGATGAATCATTTTATTTTTAACATTTATTTTGTCTACCAGCCTGCACCTGTTCAAACCTGTATTCCCCTTTACAGGAGAAACCACTGTCTGATCTGGCATGTTTTAGCCACTCAGCTATAAAGAATTTCAGAATCAAACTCTCTCTCTCTCTCTCTCTCATACACACAAACACACACAAGTGTGAATATGAACTAAATAACAAGATATTAGAAAGTGGATATGTGTGCATATACAGATAAAATAAATATTTATTTGCTTATGGTGCAAACAAAACAATACTTAATGTAGTTAAACAGAGCTATAAAGTATACATTAATAAATATACATAATACCTACATTATATACATTAGGTTTTTAACCAAACTTCTATAAATACACACACATACCATAATTTAAAAGCCTCAAACAAAGATCACTTTCAATTTTTATTACAAGTTCAGTTTTCTTGTATAATAAAGTGTTTTCAGGATCCAACACCCTCTTAAGATTCAAGGTTGATACAAACAAAAAGAACATTGATAACTTATATTACCAGGAAAGTCTTGGCCAAAGTAGAACACATGGTAAATACATAAATTGTGAAAAAAATAAATCTACTAGATAGTTTTGACCTTCTCCACTTGTAGAAATAGACTTGTGTTTTGTAATAGGTAATGATATAGTGTAACTGTGGCATCCATGAGACAAAGACAAGAATTAACACTAACTGTGGAATGATCATTGAAACCAGAAAGATGGGGGCATAATATCTCCAAAGTGGCAATTTCTCTTGGTTTTTCTCGGACAAAAGTAACAAGGGTTAAACCAAGAATATGTAAATAACAATAACACAAGACAATAACCTAAAGGATTAAAGTATTGGTTCATGAATTTTTTTATTTTTTTAATGGCATATCAACTCTTTATGGGTCATTTAATGCCAACCATTCCAATAAACAATCTTTTTTTTTGTCAGGCACAAAGGTCCAAGTTTGCCCATGTGTCATACTAACATGCAGTATATTGTCAGTAATTCTCCCACACAAAGAAATTAGGGAATATATAAAAAGGAAAGCATTGTGTGAAAGGGACAAATAAATAAAAAAAATAAGAAGCCTGACTTCTAGCATCCTAAAGAGGGATGCAGTACAGTCCTGTACTATTTTTATAGTTCTCTTTAGAATGCATGGGAAATGCATCATCCTCCATGGGCTAACAAACACCAACTGATTATTTTTGCCAATAAGCTGTCACATGACTCTCAAGGGGACCCTAAAGATATCACTAAATTCTTCCTGCCAAAAGGAAATAATTACCTTCTGTATCCTTATATAGTAAATAATGAAACCTAAATTTAGTTAATGTCTTCTGTTTCTGCTCTTTGGGTCTGGGATCAGCTCTGTCTTGTCTTCAAGGAGGACAGGGTGCAAAAGTAGATGTCTAATCCATGTCTGAAGCATTATCTCCACATTGTATTAAAAAGGTGGGTTTATCAGTTACCCTCTCTCCTTTGCAGTACTGTCTGCAGGGAACTGAGCAATTTTTTTTATCTGTGCCCATATGTATATAAGGCACAGTTTTAAATCACTTTTGTGTTTGAATTTACCATTATGGGAAAACAAACGGATAAAATTTCTTTATTGTCTTTAGTGAAAACAAGTTACAGAAGCATATATGCCTGATTCTTGAATGTTCAGATTTTGCAGCAACACCTCCCTATTGCACTAAAGGAAGGGATATTGGTTGCCTGCCATTTGTACCAAAGGCTGTAGAATAGCAATTTTTGTCTCTACTCATATGTATCTGTGCAAGACCCCCACATGAAACCAAACTTATCACATTTGTCTTGTTTTAAGTTTGCATTATCTTCAGGTGATACAAGGTACAAAAATGACAAAGACATACCTAGGAGTGGTCTCTTGAGATTTCAAAACTTTTCTTATTGCACTAAAAAAGCAGATTTGTGAAATTTGATTAACTAATAAATATCAATTATGGGTCCTGAAAGCAGTTTGTTCACAAAGGTAAAAAAAATCCATTCCATTGTTGACTCAGACAATTGTTCTTTTATTGGGAGAAGATTGGTAAAATATTGAGCATTACTCATGAATATATGCCACAGTCTCTATGATAGGAAGAATTACTTTGAGGGCTACCATTTGCACTTGACCTTTGATCTAAAGAAAGTGCACATGTGTTGATGCTCTTACACAATTTATTTTTGCATTTCAGCAATATAGGTAACTTTTAGCATCTTTGACCCAGAAAAAAATATATGAAATAACTTAAAAACTGGTAATAATAATTATCATCAATACAAACAGACAAGAAACTGGAGCACAATAAACTGGACATATTGGTGAAAGATAAAAGCAGGGTTAATTGTTGATCCATCATATTATTTTTCTAAACGTATAGAGCAAAAGGAAGAAGAGAAAGTAACCAACTATGACACACTGAAATTTAAACTCATAAGGCTTTGAAAGTTGAAGGTCTTAATCATATCAATTGTCATTGATGCACTTGGGACACTGAGTGAATCAAGACATGGATAAAGAAAATTTGCATTGATTGCCCAGTGAAAATGTTACAAAAAGGAAGCCTCTTAAGAACAGCAGGAATAATTCAGAAAGTGATGAGTCAGAGGGAAATTGCATGATACCTACTAAAGTTAGTAGCTGTGGCCCACTTGTTATCATATGCTACACCAGGCATAGATTTAATAGCTTCTAATCTTAACTGATTGGAGTTATTAACATGCCCATGTTTTGTCTTGGTGAATTGAAATGGGCTACAATAAATATATCATTCAGTACCACATATTTAATTGTCACTTGCCTGACCATAACCATTTGGGCTTAACCACTGTGCGTCTCTGTTCATGAGTGGGAGTAGTGAGGGGAGCATCATGACTGAGTGTCAGGAGCTTTGTTTTTCTTTTTTTTAAGTTTAAAGCAGCCAAGTCACATCTAGATATTTGGGAACACTTAATCAGTGACCATCTGAGTGAACTAGATTATCCAACCTGAAGGTATTTTTAACTGCAAGGTGGTGCACTGATTGATTTTTTTTTTTTTTTTTCAAAATTTGTACACATGTTTGGCTGTGATGCATGTATCTGATGCACTCTCATCAAACTGGGTGCCATGATGGGTATATTGGACTTGGTATATTTGCACCCCAGTGTCACTAGATTGGTATTCTGCTCCCTTGCATGATAATAATAATGTGTAAAAAATAAAATAAAATAATGGCTAAAGTTATTTTTTCCAGGATAAAACAAATCTTTAAATTACTTTTTTCTGATTAAAAAAAGAGTCAGAAAAGTCTCAAAACAATTTACCTTTTTATCTTTAATGATTACAAAAATTGCAGCTCTTATCTTTGACTAGCAGCCATACCCAGCTGGTCGATCAGAAAAAGCATTCAATTAGAATGGAGCAAAAACAGCACCATGTTTAGATGTAACAGTCTATCTTCTTCAATTACTTTAAAGTACTTTTATTAAAAAACATTTTGAATTAATACAGTTACTGATATAACAGAAGTAGTCTGTATTTATTCAATTGAAGTTAGCTGAGTACATGAAGTGTAAAACAGGCAACATGAAGACCCACTTCAGACCACAATTATTTTGGAGTTTTTGAAATTCAATTTGTCAATGTGCTACCAGGGATGTAAAAGATGATATATTTATAAACAGTTGTTAAGTTTGATGAAAATTGGTTGAAAGATCAATGAAAAATAAAGAAACCAGTAAAAATCTCCATTTTTCACTATTTATATGGGTTTTCACTATTATGGATGGACTCAATTATCAAGTTAAGTCACTGTTAAACAATGAACTTATTGTTGGCTACAATTGAATGAAGTTTGTATTAGATTGCTTGAAAATTGAGGGAGTTTTTAGTTCAAAATTTGTGTTGAAATTGATTTTTCATTTTTTATAGTTTTTCACTAAATGCAGTGTCACAGAAATAAAAATGAGGTATCATTGAGCTTGTCAAGATATAAATAACCTACATACCAAGTTTGAACAAAAAAAGTTGAATTTATTGGTTTTTGATCGATTATTGATTTTTTTTTTTTTTTTTTTTTTTAAATTTTCAATTTTTTATGCTAAGAATCTATCTCTTACATTGTACAATGTATATGCCAAGTTTGGTCAAAATCGGTTGGATGGATCCCGAGTGAAAAGGTATTACACAGACATCATCTGTTCTATATATATATATATATATATATATATATAGATTGTAGTGGCTCAGTACACATGATGTGTGAATCGGTTCACAAAGATGATTGCTATGATTTCATGTTATAGGGATACAAGAGCTGATTATCTTCCTTTGTTGGGGATAAGTCACATGGTTCACATAACAGACCACTTAATGGTGTCATTTCATACAGTGATGAGAGTGGCTAGTCATTCAATTTGTTTTCAGCAGAAAAACTGAGCAGTTGCTTTTTTTAACCTGGGCCTCCACCACCAAATGCTACAGTTTACAAATGGTGCCGTTTCTTCTTGGAAATATATTTTTCTCACATATAGAAAGAAACTCCAGCCTACAGTCCTCAATTTGGGAAAACCCAAGACTCGCTGTTTCCCATTCATAGAATAAGTCCTTGCCTGAGGCATAGTAGATGAATCCAGCCCATTTGTATCTGGAGTCCTAAGCATGCCTTTTCCAGGTGCAGAAGTATCTCCATATTATATGTAAGACACTTTCTTTTTGTTTCTCCTTACACTCTGCTCACTGTGTAGATATATGTGATATATTATTCTCTGCATGGAAATTTGTATATATGTATATATAATTCTGTGTATGTTTTAGTGATATAAAAGTCTCTCTGAGAACAAAGCAAGTTTGTCATTCCTTTTCCTTTCAGCCGTTCCATTCTATCTGTGAAATAGAGTGTTATTATATCATGGATATAATAATGCCCATAATGGGGGAAATAAAAAGGGGAGAATAAACCTTTCTATTATAGCTCTCTCCTGTCATAATATATATATAATAATAGAGTACAGCAGACAATAAAATGTTGGTAATATTCTGTTAATTTTTTTTTTCTGAAGATATAAAATAAAAAATAATACTGTTAGACAGTCAGTATTGCTTTTAGTCTTATGTATGAACAGTGGACAACACCAAATAAGCTCTTCATTTCTACATTTCTATTTCTGTCAACAATTCAATTCAAATTTGTCACATCAAAGAACTTATGGCAAATAAAATCAATCTGTGAATTAAAGTTGGTAGAATGACAAGTCACATCAATTATTTTCATAATGAAAGTATTAAGATCTCCTCAGAATGAAATGTTATAAAAAAATTTTACTTTCCTACCAACTCCAAGTCCTTGTTCTAGACACAGAACTCAGGTGGTAGAAACAGTAAGTCACAAGCGGCACAAAATTTTAAATCAAGACAACCACTGTGTAAAATTTCAAAAAGAAAAACATTTATTTACAGTTTACACAATTATGAAAAAAAGATAAAATACAAGTTTAAACAAGAATTTCCTTCTGTGCACCTCAAAGGCAGGATAACAATTTCAAAGATTACCAACAAAAAGTGGAAAATTACAGCAAGGGAAAACAAGGATTTTATTAATGACAACAGGAGAAAACAATACAAGAAGGCAATAAAAACAAAGATTCAAACACCTTTGATAAAAAATGGAAAGACCTGCTTTCACAGCAGTTATTTTGAAAAAGGGTCCCTTTTAATCTTACACAGTTCTTGCTTGAAAATTTATTCGAAATCCTTTTGTTTTAGGCTGTCCAACCACAGAAGAATTTTCACTTGATCTTTTGGTCTCTCCATGGCTGGCTGGTAACAGGTGCCTTCTATGATTTTGATGTCCTCTGCCTTGTTCCCTTGTCAACGGCTTGTTCTTTTCCTTTCCGCCCCTCTCCTCTCTGCTATCATCAATGGCACATTCTTTTTCTTCTGTCTGTTCTTTTCTTTATCCACTGATAGTAGTCCTTTTAATTTAAAAGTGACCATCCTATTGGCTCCAGCCAAAATTTCACAAGGACCAGAAAACTTGTTTCTCATTGACCAATATATATAAAAACCCTCTCCAAGTATTAAAAAAAAATTATCTGAAATACATCAAATGATTTTGTTGGCATCACCACTTAAGCCTAAAGGGCCATAAAATTTGCACAAATTTTAACACAAACTGTCTGGCCTTCAGAAGAATACTTTTCTCAAAACATGTATAAAAAACAACAAAGACAACTATACATATATCTTTAACATTTTTCACAAATAATAAAAATAAAATTTTTATAATGTACCTCTTGACTGCACTTTAAACCAAAGATTTTGAAAGGTGGTTAAATGCAATATCTGCTTCTTGAAAACAGTGGGCAGGCTTGTTAATTCACTCAAATTGAAAACTTTCGCTTAGCAATTTGATAAAAACGAGTCACACAATGATGACTCTTTTATTTTTCCTCTGTATTTTGTAGGTACCACCAAAATGGATGTTTTTTCCAAAATGAAAGAAAAAGTCACTACCTCCTATTTTTTTTACAGTTATATAAAGAAAATTTGGCAATATAAAACAGTGTGCCTAAAGGACGTTTTTTCTTAGTAGTGTCAAGGGAAAAATTGTCCTTTTGACAGACCGATTTTTTACAGGTATGAAAATTAAAGTTTGCCAAAAAATCCCCGATGATGTCATTTCTGTAAAAAGTTTATGCAATATCAAGAGTGAACATACTGAAAATTCATCCTGAGTCTTACCAAAAGATAATTCAATAAAACTCAAAAAATAGTTTTTTTTAAGAATTAGTGCTTGTATAATTTAATGAAACATTATTTTCTTTCAGAATGGACAGAACAAAAAAAAACCAAAAAACTACAGTACACTTATTTATTTTACAAAATACATGTAATTTTCAGTGCGATTTTGACATTAATCCCATTGTCGTTCATCACGAGAATTTCTTTTCTTAAAGAAAGACATTTTCGAAGAATCGAAAAATGTAAATTTTAACGTCATTTTCGAGTGTGAACCTTTTTTAAAAGAATTTTATTTTATTTTTTCCTTCTTAGTAACGCTTAGATAATTTGTTGTATAAATGTACAAAGGGAAATAATTCTAATTTCTCACTTGACCATTCTAATTTTCTCGCTTTTAGTTTTGACCATACTAAGTTTCATAAAAATATATAGAATAAAAAAGTTATATTCTTAAACTATTGGTTATATAAGATTATAATAATTTTACAGACAAAATAATAATGGTACAAATGTCAATGGATAATTAAGAAAGGACTCAAAGTGAACGCAATTAATTAACCTTAATAATACAATTTCTACCAATTTTGCCCTTTTTTTATAGTACCAACCAACTCCGTTATGTTAATATAGTTTCTTAAATTCTGAATTATTTCATAAAAATCGAATTGAGTGTAATTATATATTTTATGGCATGAAATATATAAGAAAATAATCAAAATATAAAAGCAATGAAACGTGTCATTTAACTAAAACAAAAAAAAAAAAATAATTCTAATTTATAAAAAATAAAATTATTCATTCTACTAAAGTTTAATAAAAACGTATAGAATAAACATTTATTCTTAAACTATTGGTTATGCACGGTTAGAGAAACTTTATTTTTTGAAGCATAAATATCAATTTCTTGATTATTGCACTGCTGATGTTCCGTATTTCTTTAAATTTTATTTTTAATTTTTTTGCGCGCGCTTTTTAAGTCAGGGGTGTCATTAAACAGTTTCTGTGTTTAACCATTGAATCCATAGGCTAACGTGCGTAGATAAATGTTATTTTCATTAGCTTTTAAGTAAAAAGAAAACATTAAAAATTCATTTAATTAATCCTTACATTTACTGAATGAATTCGAAACATATCTCCAGAACAAATATTAGATTTTTAAGAGATTGTTTTCATTTGTTGTTGTTTTTCATATATAACAGCGGTTCAATGAGTGATGAGAAAACATCCCAATTTTTTTAAAAATGCCTCAAAACTTTAATTACATGCGGAAATCAATTTTTCTTTTAATACGGATTAGCTTTCAAATACCTTTAAAACCAAAATTTAACATTTTATGCGTTTTTCATTTTTTGTTTTCACTTTTAGTTTTAAGAAAGTCATCAATTTTTGTATTAATTTGCTTATTTTTCTTTTATTGTGTTTGTGTTAGGATCACAACAAGCTAATATCTTTTTACCATAACCTGTTATCAAAATAAATAAATGAATAAAAATAAAAGAATGAAAATGAATAAATAAAATATGCCAAAAATTTAAATTTTAAATATATTTTTTGCAGTTGACGGGATTTACGGAATCAAGGGAGATAAATCAATGATCATATCATATCTGGTTTATATTTTTAGTTGAAATTTCCAATTGATAATGTCCAAATGTTTAAATAAATTTCATTACTTCGAATATTTCATTTTTAAGAATATTTAATTATTCAAATTCTCGTTTTAGTTTTTATTTATTTATTTTTTTTGCAAAAAGACATCTTTTACATTTTAGTTTTTAATTTACCGATTTTAGAACTTTATTAAACAAAATGAATTTTTTATCTAAAAAATTATATTTATTATCATTTTTTAAATATTTTTCTATGCTTTGAGTTCGATAATCTTTCTAATTTTTTTTTTTTTTTTATTAAACTACGAAACTGTGATAAGTACGCTTGCTAAATCTTTATTGCAAATTCGTAACCTTTACCAAGCGGTCAAGTGTTCTGTTCACTCGTGCTTTGATTTTTTGATATTAGACTTTTACCAATACCCGAAAACAAAGCGATGGCCCGATCAGTTGCAGATGTAAGTTAGAATTACTAATATATTTCCATTTATCAATTATTAATTTATTTAACAGTTTCTTGAATATTTTTCCTTGATATTGCGGACAAACTTTTAGCTTTATTCCCATAAAAATAAATTACTTGACCGGGTTCCCTGAAAAACGCGCATATGTTTCTGGAAAAATCTTTAATCGAATTCAGTACTGTTGCTTTTCTATTGTAATAACACTAAAAATGCCGTTCGATTTCGTTTCTGTTATATTTTATACCATTAATTCAGTGCCAAAAATAATTTCATTTTTCAGAATTTCATCTCTCAAGAACTCGAACTTCGTTCACTCAATCAATTGAATTGGTTTACGTTTATTAATTGCTTGTTATCCAAACTCTTACAGTCAAAATGAGGATAACATTTCGATTAAACCAGTGCATAATTCCTCATCACAAATTCAGACAGAAAATATGCCACCCTCCTTTTTTTTTTTTTGTTAATCTTCTAATAATCTCTCTAGAGACACGCTCTCTTATTTCTTAGAATTCTTCATTACTCGCTTATTTTTTTAAAAAACTTTTTATTCTAAAAATCTACAGCAATTGATTTTCTTAAAAATACTTTATGCGCCTAATGGAAACCTTGAATTATTCATTTTTAAAAAAAGTGTTTCAGTAATTTATTTTCGTCGTTTCAATTGTAGGGTTTTTTCATTGTTTTAAGTAACTTATGAATATATAGTGTAAAAAAAAAAAAATAACCACTTATTGTTAGAGTTAACTTAAATTACTATTTTTTAGTCTTTGAAAATTGAATTTTCCCTGGTCTCTTAGTTTTTAGTTCATTTTCCCAAGATTAAAAAAAAGTGATGTCATTAATTAATTGTGTATTTACATTACAAGACTAACCCGGAAAAACCAACCTGTCAACTTTTTTTGTACTGTAGTAAAAAAAAAAAAAAAAAAAAAAGAGAAAAAAAAATGTCTTTTCTTTTTTAAATCAAGAGATCGAGTTTTTTCAAAACTCTTCTAGGTTTTCACGCAAATAAAAGTGAAACAAATTTCTCAGAATTTAAAACCTATTTCATCTCCGTGTTCACAGTGAACACGTGTTTTTTTTTTATTCATTTAAATTAAATTAAATTTCAATTCTTTTTTTTCTCGTCTATATACTTTTTCAAGTTTTAGATTTACTTTATTTCTTAACACTATTTTTTGTTTTATTTTTTATGTAAAACTTTTAGATTCAAAAGAAAGAGGTTTACTTTCGTTTTACAAATCGTAAGTTTTATTGTTCATAAATATTGCGCTATTTTTCAGTTTTTATTTGTGAAAAATGTATTATTCGTAATGAGGCGAGGTAAGTACTCTAAGGAAAATAATCCAGGTATTATTTTCAGAGTCATTTATATTTGTTTTCTTCCTGTAATTTGTTTAGTTCTGAACAAGAAAAAAGAGAAGGGAAAATTTTTTCAACTTTCTTACGGTTATTTTGACATCAGTAACTTCTAATTTTTATTTTCACTCAGCTTTCCTTTTTTAGCTAAAATAAAATGACTGGACAGGACAGTGCAATTTCTTGGAAAAAGAAAAACTTTTTCCTCTATCTATTATATTGCTGAAATTAATATTTTCCATAGGTTTTCCACTGGAATAAATGCTCAATTCTGTTTAGTTTGTTCACTTACTCAAAAAAGTCAAAAACATTTTGTATTAATTTACTATTGTCTCGCAAAATATGTAATCATTAGACCGGATAAATGTTTTAATAAATTTAACAAATCCTACTCATGATTATGCAAGTTATAAAAAAAAAAAAAAAAAAATGCCCCAGTTGAGTAAAAAAAAATGCTCACTGAAATATCTCAAATTGCATTTCTCTATATCCAGTTGAGTCATAAACTAGTGAGAATATTATTGGAATTATTACTAATTTTAAGTTATAAAAATTAATTATGTGAATGAAATTACTTATCCTTATCAGTTGCAAAGAATTCAAAATTCTTTGTGGGATCAATTTAAGGTACTCCCTTCCATAACAACTGGGTGGTAAGTTTGGCTCAAATGAGCCTGCTCATCAAGTTTCCTACAGATGAGGTTTTCTTAGTGATTCAAAATGGATTGGAATCAGACCCTTCCCTTGAGGAACATATTAGCATTTTGATAAATAATCTAATCAAAATACTGACATTCTGTGTACAGACAACATTCTTCTAACTATGGGCTGACATATATCAGCAGGAGGGATCCTTGGTTATGGGTTCACCACCATCCCCAATGATGGCAGTAAACTTATAGAATACTTTGAAGAAATGAATTTAGGAATAGCACCACTAAATCCAGATATATGGTTAAGATATGTGAATGACACCTTCATACTCTGACTTTACCAGGAAGCTGTATAAATATTGCTGGATCATCTCATTCATTCATCTTCTACTCCAAGCTACATGACAATTACACTTTCCTCCTCATTTTCTCCCTGCCTCATTTTTCACACATACACACAAAGAAATCACATTTCTTTTCATCTTAACCAGCAACTACAAACAAGGAACTTTAACACTCATACACTCTGAGAAGAATTTAGTTGTCAAAACACAAAAATAAAAATATTTTTTTATATTTAAAAACATTTCTTGCCTTTGTTGTGGGTTGATTCAAATCAGCAACATACTAATAACTTGCACAGAGAATGAGTTCAACATATACATATGTCACAAACCAAACCTTCATCAGACAATATCTTAATTTCAATTCCCACTATCCATGTAGTGTAAAGAAAGGATCATCTGATGTCACCATGTAAAAATCCTAAGTGGCAACCCAGGCACCTATTAGTAGATGATCAGCATCAAATGTACCCTTCAGAATAACAACTATTCTGCAAACAGCATCAGAACGGTCAAGTAGAAAGATTGGAAAACTGCCTTGAAAATTCCTTTATGTCAAGGGCTTGTTGGAAAAGATTCAGAAATTCTATGTCAGCTTGATTTTCTGAAGAAATCTTTTATCAAGCCAAGCTTAACATAGAGGAAAATCTGATCAAGATTTGTTTATGTTCCATCCCTTGAAGTTGTCACATAGAATTCAAGGGTGAAATTTTCTTGACAAAAACATCTTTTTGCTGTCATACTATGAATGATCAGTTAGGCAAACCACTCTTTCATAATTACTTGTCTGGACAGTAGTAGCAAAAGAACTGTTTCTCCTAATGTCAGTATTGACAGGAACCAATTTAGAAAAAAAAATAGATAAAAATGATATATGCAGTGGAGTTTGAACTTTGCTGATTCTGTTTTCCACTTTGATAATTGTTGCCATATAAATGATTCTATACTGTTTGATAGCACTGTATATTGATAAGTTATATCTAAACTGAAATAATGCTTTATATATCCAAACCAACTTTTTAATAGTTATGTTTGGTTAATTAAAAAATAGTGAATACCATGTCCAGTGAATTTTAAACAAGGAATCTGAAATACCAATGTAAAAGAAAAAGCTAGTATTGTGTCTCATTGAGGTTGGATATTATGCTTTCCTAGCCATTTCATACATGAAATATTTACCTAGTTAATCCATTCTGGGTGCCAAAATGAGGAATTGACATCATAACCATCTGTATAGTATTGAGAACACCAGCAACTTAAATTTTTCCTTTCTTATGGCGGGGGAGAGCTAAGAATCGCATTTTATCAGAGGATTTGCTAATTGTATAGATAAGAAAGCCTCAAAATCGACCATATTGTAAAATTTGTTTGTAGTTCATGACGTAGTGTTGGATAGTTCGTTATCTGGCCATAGGCTGGTATCCGATCAATATCAGCTGGGTCAACCGAGTGAGAGGGTTATGATGTTGAGACTCAAAGTGTAAATAAGGCAATTGGTGAAACTATCTATTCATATTGTGGAGAACAAAACATAGAAAATAATTAAATAAACGGTAAAAAATTCAGATTTTTTGCAGAGTCATCAGAATTATAGTTGAAGTAAAATTTAGAAGGAACTGGAAACCCAATCCTTAACAGGATACAAGGGATAAACCTCTACTCCTGTTCAAAGATCTCAGAATTACATCACTAATGATATGGTCCAGCACACATCATCCTGATGCATTTCTATTTTCTTCTTCTAAATGAATACCCTCAACAAAAATAAACGTGTTGTAAAGTTCCCAAACAAGACAGATATAACATCTGATTGTTTGTTATTGTTACAAGTCATGTGATTGAAATTTGAGCAAAGCTGTCTTTGCAGTTTTCAAATAGGTCACTATCATTTCAAGAGTTACAGTTGTATACAGTTGTATTCAACTTTTAAAATATTTCCTTATTTTGATTTTTGATTAGTCATTTCAAATTTGATTTCATAACATTTATATATTCTGCATTGGTAAAACTCTTTATGTGAATTGATAATAAGAGAACTAATATTTGATTTCCACAATTAGTAATAATGTTTGAATAAGTATTTGACCCCTAGTGAAAAATAAATTTGGCTGTGAATCCGGTCATAAGAGCAGCTAAAGTTGAGCCGTTCATATACCCACTGAATGTTGATGGCTCAGCATCTCAAGAGATAAAGGTGGCACCCTGTTTGGTCAAAATTCTGTCCATTGGTTGTGAAACTAGAGTGACCTTTCCAGGTTGCAGGCTTGGACAATAGTATATGGAGACTGTACACTGCCCAGACTACATGCTTCTCCCCCTTTTGGGGGTGAATTGGCTGCAGGAGTTGCCAGGAAGTTGTCAGGTTTTCTATCTGGATTTACTTCCATAGCCATTTCCATGTTTAGATATATCCACAAGGCAGAAGAGGTTTAAAATCAGGGTTTTTGTTCCCCTAGATGGACTGCCTTTCTGAGGTGTCAAGGTCCATTTATCTAAAACAGCTGGTTATACAGCATCAGTTTTCCACCTTTGTCCATTCTTCAGCTTGGAGCAGGACTTACTGGTCAGAGGTTGTTTGAGACACATGATAATTGAGCATTTTATAGACAGTGGGAGCTTGTCTCCACTATCAGCCCTAGCTATTTCAATCCTTGGAACCTATATAATGTACATATATAAACATTCTATACATTGTGTTTTAGAAGCTCGAAAAACAAAATATATAATAAAAACCAAGATACTAGAAAGCAAGACAAATTATGAAATACTACATAAATAAGCAAACACAAATATTGAAACATTTGTTAATTTTAGAAAAAGGTAGCAGAAACAAAATATGAAAATATAAATTGGAATTTAATCCTAAAATACTCAGATTATAAAGTCATTATTTAACATACAGTACAATAATTTATACTGCTTTTATGAGAATACTAAAACTTAAACTAATGATTGATAAAAAGTGAACAAGAGTAGAAAATGCAAAGTTGATAAATATAACTTTAGATAAGCAAAAAGTAAAAATAAAACTAACGATTTTCAGGCTAGATGTTCAAAAATACTAATACAGAAAATCTGGTAATTGGAAAAAGTTGGAAGAAATAATAATAAACAATAGATATATAACTTCAAATAAATATAATAATCATAATATATATAGTAAAATAAATTATAATTGCAAATTCTATTAAATTATTACTTTTAAGCATTATTTACATTTTTCAGTTAAACTTAAAATCTGTTGTTTTTTTTTTTAGCTTTGACAAAACATGTCATCTTTCCTTGAGTTCTGATTGAATACTTATGCAAAAATTATTTATTCAACTTCTACAGCAAAAGGTATCCTAAGGGAATGGGAAATAAAATATTTTTTTTTTCCTGAAGAGAATGGGAGAAGAGAGAACATACCATCTTTTATCCCAAGCATTAAAAAAAGGTCTTTACAAACAAACAATACCCCAAACTACTGTGTGAAATTTAAAAGGAACTAACATTTATTACAAAAACATGAAAATAATATAACAAAATACAATATTTTTCAAAATAGGCAGACAAGATTGTGTAATTCCTGCTTGTGGTCATCGTAAACTTTTGTCTGAGGGCAACTTCTGAATCAGACTGGAATAAGAACACCTTCAATAAAATGTACAACACTATTGATAACTCTAAACTGGTTTATTGAATATAAACAACAAACTGGTTGAATAACATGTCTCTACTGCAAAGTCAGGTTTTCTACTGCAGGATGGTGATTTGGGAGATGTCACAAACATTAAACTTTACTGACTAAAGTAATAACCAGTCAATCAACTCTTCCTCAATTCTTCAAAGTAATAATTCTTCTGTCATGCAAAGCCTTATATTTACATTTTTATAGCACTTTTAATACTTTTTATAGTTTGTGTTTTTTCTCTGGCCCAGGAATTATAGGTGTTTTCTTTAGCAACAACTGACATGAGCAATCTCAGACTGACTTCTCCTGGTTGGGCCTGATCTCCAACTGTGACCTTCCTTGTTTGGCTGATTTTCCATTTATCTGTCAGCCTGGGGCTGTCATTTACATAGACAGCTCCACCTCCAAAATCTGACATTGATATATCTAATTTCTCCACCCAACTGTCTTAATCTTAGGAGACATTGTTAAAAAAAAAAACCATATGGTATCTCTTTTGTTTAGTTTAGAATTTCCTTCTTAGGTATCTTTTTGCAAAGATAATTGTGTCCATGGGCAGTCAACATAAAAACATCTCAATCTTGGGAATATTTCATTTTTTGTATACAACACACACGTTCTGGATAAATAATGTAGTGTAAACAAACTCCCAAATTTTAATTTCTTAGGACATGAAAAATTTAGACAACACATTAATCATGTCTTCTTATTGGCAGGAAGTGGATAGTGTTGAAAACCTTGGTTTTGCTCAATTTTACTGAATCTTGTCTAGTTAATTCTGTGTGCGATACTCATTGGAACTGTTCTTAAATTATTTTATTATTTTAAAACATAAATCTTAACATGTTTCCTCTTTAATTTTCTTCTCAACCATTCAACCTACTTTCCTGAGAATTTTAATAATTATTATCCAATTTATAGTCCATCTAAATCACCATCCTATAATTTCACGCAATTAAATGTTTAAACAGGGTCAGTGCCCTGTTACACACAGCACATAGAAGACAATTGATGGTTACTGAAATAAAATATTTAATTCATGTATTAAAGTGTTTCATGAATATTAATTGACTTTATAAATATGATTGAATTGAATATGGAAAATCATCTCAAGACCAAATGCTTTTTTGTGTACAATTTTATTTGAACTAAGCTTAATAAATATTGAATTTGAGCACGTCCTAATGTTTGCAGTTATTATTTTTTTAATTATTTTCCATTTTTGGAGTGGTGTCAGCTGCTGAAAGATAAGTGTTCATATATGTAACTATTAGTTTTTCTTTTGCGGATTTGGTAATATACCCTTTAGTCCATGGCTGCAATATTGGGCTACACTGTCTCCTATTCCTGTTGTTGTAAGCCATTAGTTTGTTTTTAAAGGGTGCTACATATATATTACCTCCTACTTTCTGAGTAGGAAATTCTGATCAAAAATGTTATTAGGAAGGTGAATTAGTGCTTTATCAATCTTAATCCATAGTGAAATTTAAAAGTGCTATAAAATGTAAATACAAGTTTGTGTGAAAAACATTCTAACATCCTCTTTTGAAAACCAGTTTTTCACTGGAAAGTTTTGTACACATCAAAATTTGGTAGTTTAAGAAACATACCTTCAAAAAACAGTGTCAAAAGGACTGTTATTCTCTTGACACCACTTCGACTGTATACTCCCTCTTTTTGCAGGTACATTTGTTAAACTTTGCCAAATTATTCTTATAAAATATTATTTCAATGCATAAATAATGTTTAACATTTTTGTTGTCAATTCTCAAGAAAAAATTTATAAATCCAAGTTCATGTGTTTGGGTTTTATTAAAATTCTAAAAATAGCTTTTTAAAACCACAAAAATTAGAGGGAGTATACCCTTTTAACACACCCTTTTTTTATAGGTATGTTTGTTAAAATTTGCCTAATATTTTTATAATCATGATTTCCATAGTTGAAAATTGATTCCATGCAACTTAGATGATTTCTTACAATTCAAGTTGAATAGAAAAAGTCTGTTTTTCTTTCTGAAATACTTAATAAACCAGTTGGTTTAAACTGATCTGATTTAATGATCTTCATACTATTTTATATCCTAAAAACCTTAATATATAATAATTTTGAATTTTTTTTTTTTTTCTCCTTTAGGTAAAAAAAGATGTTGAGGAGATGGAGATGTTGGTGTCAGAATCAAAGAGGAGCCATGTGAAAGAGATTCTCCAAATTGAGTTGCGGAAATTACAGATTGAATTATCTAAACTAATGACAGAGGGGGATGAGACCAAAACCAAGTCGACTGTCAAGACTACCCCAAATTGTCCAACTGTCAGTCTCACTAATTATGGTCAGCCTCAATTTATTGAACTCTTTTGTTTTCAAATATATCTATTGAATGTTTAACAACTTGTAATTTCTGTAAATTGTTATCTAGCCTATATTACTATTATTATTATTTGTAGCCTTTTTTTTTTACAAAAGCTCTACACTTAAGATAGATTATGACAATTTCAAAACATAATGGCAAACCAAAAAATGTGTTATTCTCTGATTTCAAAATAGACCTAAAAATTACACTTTTATCCCTACAATAGTACAAGAAAAAATTGTAATAGATCAAGTGCTTTTCAAAGTGTTAAGCTCAACTTTGTAAAGCCTTCCTGAGTTGAGATCTTTACACAGAAACAATTGTAGACACAGACAATGATGTCAATTAAAAACTTAAAGACTATAATTGTACTATTGACTATTATTATACAGTGGCAAACAAGAGAAATCTACTTAAAAATCAATTTGTTGATTTTAAGATGTAAGTGATTAAATTACAGAGATTTGTTTACAGACAAACCTTACTAATTACAAATGATAGGAAGTTCTGGAGAGCCATGATTGCCCATCTCCTGAAGACACACACGCACACACATATAATGCCTTTCACCTTTGTCTGGCTTATGACCATATAATTGAAACACCAGTTCTCATCTGATCACTGAAGTTAAGCAATATTGAACCTGGTCAGTACTTAGATGAGCAACTGCTCGAGAATACCAGGTGCTGTAAGCTGTGGTGTAATGGGTTAACAACTCGGAATGAGAAATCGGAGGGCCAAATTTGAATTCCAGTTGGGTTTGTTATATTCACTTACATGCAAATACTCTTGGGAAAGGTATGAATCCAGTGCCTCTCCCAGCTTAAATAGTAAGACTTGTATCAGAAAAATCATTATTATCTCCAAAAAAATTCATGTAATCCCAAAATATGCTTCAGCTTTAAATAAGCTGTAAAAAACAAACAAACATTTACTTTTGCCTCTACAAAAATGCAAGAAAGTGATAAGCTCAACTTTGTAAAGCTCTCCCAAGTTGAGATCTTTACACACAAACAACCATAGAAGAAGACAATGATGGTAATTGAAAATTTAACAATTATTATTATGTGATACCATGGCAAACAAAAGAAATGGGTCATTTGGTTAAATAAAAAAATCCATTTGCTGAAATTTTACTAAGAAGCTTTAAGTGTTTAACAATGTACTTTCAGTAATAATATTTGCAATCATTTAATACTACAGTGCAATTTATCACATTCATGTGAGGAGATAAGAATCAGAATGCATAGTGATTGGCTTAACATAGTCTTTATATCCCATTTTTCCTCCGTTTGTAACCTTTTTTGTTATATCAAGTTAAATTATTTTTTATACCAAAGTTCGCCCAATACAAAGCTCAAAAGAGCCACTCAAAGTAGAGGGTTATTGTTAAAATTGTTAAGATGAATGAAGTTTATGATATGAATGGAAGTGGAGGTGATAGGAAGTGAAGATTTTGGGGATAGATAATGATTGACCTTTGACTTAGTAAGTACCCTAAACCTGGTTTAGATAGATGTACATTTCCTGCTGGCCCTGGAGATTGGTGTTCAAACCTAGTTAGCAGCTAGGATTTTGAAGATAGATTTTCAAGACCAGCATGCCCTCCTTACTTAGATATGCACAACATAATCTTCCTACTTTCTGTTCCATCCATTTAGATTGATGCCAGATAAAGTTAAGCTTGGCTAATGTTGAAAATGAAAAAAAAAAAAAAAAGAAGAAATTAAGTGTTTCTTGAGTGATGAAATTAATAAACATTTTTTTCCTCTCTTTCTGAACAGCTTGGGATCAGTCGAACAAGTATATGAAAATTTACATTGATCTCAAAAATGTCCATAATCTTCCCAAAGAGAAAATTACATGTAATTTTGAAGCAAAGTAAGTTTTAAATTTTATTTTTGTTACATTTTATCATACTGCGGAAAAGCTTTTTATTTAATTTTTCTTGTCATAATTTTTTCTTTTCTGGACATAAATATGTAGAAATTGTTCAATATTCTGTATGCCCAGGTGGTTTCTTTTTTGCTAATGGCTAAAAGAATAACTGAAAGTGCTTAGATATACAGAACATTCAAACAATTTCTGCATAATTTATATCCAAAAAAGGGGAAAAAAGTATAAGAACACGAGAAAAATTAAATAATAAAACTTAACCACAGTACCTTGCAAGTCATTTTTAATTAAATTTGTATAAAAGAGTGATTGATGCCCAAATACCTAATTATATATATATATATATATATATATATATATATATATATATATATATATATTAGTGCATGCTTCATTAAATAATATGGACAAGTTTTGTCTATTTATTTTAAGTAAATTCCTTTCATAATATCGAATAAGCTTTTTAGCATTACCACTGAAACGTGAAAGAAAATCACCATGTTGATACATGTTTTTATTGTTAATCCTGTCTAAGCTTTTGTCTTACATAAGCCATCATCAGAGATTACAATTACATTAAAATAAATTAAATAATAAATTATATAACAGATATGATAATGTTTCTTTTAGAATGGTTATGCGGGCATTGCAACAATGATAGTTTTTGTTTGCATGGAAGATTGCTATGCAACAATAAATTTGTGCATATGTAACACAGGAAGCAAATATCGCATTGTGGTTCATGACATCATACATGACCACGTGAGAGTGAAAATAAAGAAAAGTGTTAAGTATGGAAAGCCATTGGTATAAACCAATAGCTCCTGTTATCAACTATAAACATTTAAGTATACTTGTGAAGTTTTCATAGTTTATTTTGTTCAGGTTAGGTTTGTTCTGTTAGCGATTTGCAGAAAACCAACAGTTTACAAATTCAAATGCCCTATGGGAGATTGTATCTCCAACGTATTAAATAATATTTATGTTGGTCACACCACAAACTCACTTTCATGATGCTTAACTCCCCATTTGAATGACTATTCCAACATTTTTAGCCATTTAAAACAACATGCCTAGCCACATACACAATTCCAGAAAATCCTTATTGAAAATACAATTATACTTAACCATGAAAACAAACAAAAACTAAAAATTCTTGAAGCTATTTACATAAAACACTTGAAACCTAACCTGTCTAAAATAAATAGACAAAACTTGTCTATATTATTTAATGAAACATGCATTAATGAAAAAATGCTGCCTAAATACACACAATATATACACACACACATATATATAATTATTTATTTAAAAATTATAACATAAACATGTTATAAAATCACTACAAAAATAGCCATTTTGTTTCAACACCTCTGGTGTCTTATCAAGTGATGACACAACTGCTTCTTGTCATGAAGAAAATAGTAAGCTTTCCATCTCATTCTTCTGATAAGGTTTTCAGTTTGCAGAGTTAAATGGACAAAATAATCTGTTTTGTTCATGGTGGGAATGTTCTTAAGTGATAATCCGAAATAAAGAAAGGAATATCTTTATTTTTGTCTACCAGCTATCTATATTTTTCTCTAATAAGATTTCTTGATGAATATTCAGGCCAGTAGATGAGAATAAATACTACTTAATACATAGAGTGTCTACTCAAAGTCGAGTATTCATTAAAAATAACATTTAAGTAATATATATATATATATATTTCTGTCACACACTGTATATATAAAACTAGGATGAGGTTTTTATTCTTGAATGGCAACCTTCCTAGAGATGGAGTCTTGAGATACATTTGGTATGTTTGGACTACAATGAGTGTCAGGAAGAGCATCTGGCCTTGTAAAACTTTGTCTGAAATCATTATGATAAATTCTTTGTCAAGCAGGACCCACCTTGCTTTGTACAAGATTAATCCCAGTCTTGCCTCAACAAAAAACACAGCTATGTATTCTAATTTTGTCCATCTTTATTTCTACAAGTAGTGTTTTCTGTTGAGTATACTTTCTTACAAATGATTATTTTTCTATCCTTTAATAATTCAAATGTTTTTTCCTTTGCAATATTTTCATTGGGAGAAATTTATACACTGGGTGCGATGGATAAATTGTCGTCTAAGATACACAAAAATGAAAATAACACTGACTTTTCATTTTAACAGATATATTTACCAAAATTACACAAAAATATCTTGATATACTAAAGAATAAATTTATTCAATAAAATCGCAATTGGCCTCCAGATGATTTCACAATCTTCTGCAACTCTTCTGGATGGTCTCCTTGTTTTAAGTTGGTGAATGCTGCCATAATCCTTGTTTTCAGTTTGGTGTTTCAAGGAGTTTTGTTGGTCCCTTGCTCAACTGCACCCCACGCATAATAATCAAGGGGGTTGCAGTCTAGTTTCTCCTGCTTGTGTGGCATGGTTCTATTCTATTGCAGCTGGCTTAAAATTTTAAGCTAGCTTAAAAGTTACCCTATCAAGTGGCATTTAAGCTAACTCCTGTGGAGGTCTCTTGGTTTGGCCGTCATCACAATTGCTAGGGAAGAGTAGATGTGATAAGCATCAATAAGCTACAGAAGAACTCAAAATTGATCACTGCATTTAAGTATTGAATTAATGCTTAAGCTTACCTTTTAAAAGTTCAATATTAATTCTGCTGCTACTTAATTTAAAGATGATTTTATGTACATAGATCCTTATTTTCCATACAAAGAATTATTTTTATTTCATGGGTTACAGAATGGGGGACAACTTATAAGATAAAATTAATATAGTGTAAAGATGGGAAAATAGAAATTAGAATTAGTGATACATTCAACATTTGAAGAGTTAGAGAAACATAATAGCTAAGTAAGTAAAACTTATATTATGGAATCTATATAAACAAATGCTAAATTGGAGCTCAATTCTCTCACAAATTCTGAGATTAAAAAGCCCCAGCTCTACATTTTTGTAATTTACACATGGTATTTACTCTGTATCCCCACTAAGATGAGATGTGGCACAAGGTCTATTTTTAGGTGGGGACCCGAGCGCATACACCCGGGACAGGAACAAAAATTCCCCTCAGCCCCTGCAACCATTAGTTGTGCTGGCCTCAGTGCGAGCACCGATCTCTCCCTCTGGTGCAACGGGAGGTCGTGGCCTCGGGCAGCTGTTCCCCAGGGCTGGGCACCTCTTCAGTATTATTTTCCTCAGTTGCCCCTGTCCTTTGACAGAGAAGCCCCTGAGTGCACTCTGCCCAAAGACAGAGACGCAACTGTGAGATAAGTAGACGTGAAATTACTCAAAAAGAGTAATTTACATGAAAAAAGCTCAATATCTGTATTATATATTATCTACTTCTAGGCAATATCACTCTTCAAGTTTAACTAATTTGCATATTGGTTTTTAAAAAGTATATTATTAATTGTCCTTCATTACTGTTCTTTTATTTGAAGATTTTGATTTTCACATTAAAAATAGTTCTGTTTAGGAATATAGTGCAAAAAAGTGTTTGAAATTTCCATTTTACTTGGCCTTCAACAAGTTGGCATCTATTTATAAAACTTTCCTTAACTATAACAAGCCAATTTATGAATGAAATGTTCATTTAAAATTTTTGTTTCAAAGATTTCAAGTAGGGAATATATCTTACTTTGCAAAGCGATAGCAAATGGGCGAAGCCTGCTAGTTAACAACAAAATATATTTTACTTGTAGCTCTGGAAAAAATAAATGGTTTGTGGTTTCAGCATATTAATGAAATAATTTTTAAATAATTTGTAAATTTGCATAATTTCAAATATTTCTGGATTTTTACAAGACCTCTTTCTTTCTTTGCAGATCCATGAATTTGACTGTTTATGATTTAGACAACAGAAATTATCGGTTTGGTGTGAAACGATTGGCTGGAACAATTGTACCTTCAGAAAGCTTTTTCAAAGTAATACAGTTATTCTCAAATTTCTTTTTCACTTCATGAGTAATTTGAATTTTAAAAATGGATACCTTGACATGTATTTTCTAAATGCATAAAAATAACTTTTTCACAATTGTCAAAAAAAGAAAAAATAGAATTTTGATAGTGTTTTGAATTTGATAAAAGATGTGCGGGTGAGACTAGTAAGATTTTTTAGTCATTCACACAATCTATATATTTTACTTTTACTTTTTATCATATCAGAATTTTTGACCAAATTATTCTTTGCTTTTCTTTGCTTACAGAAATAAATCGAAAAATAAAAATTTGGACAAAACTAAAATTGTATTACTATAGATTGACATGTCATGATGTCTGATTCATTTTAATCACTAATGCCATTGCAGTCAGGCAGTTCTCTGTAATATTGGTGTTATTATATTAGAGATTAAGCTCAAATTACATAGGATATAAATTCAGATCTTATCCAAAGTTACTTTATTCCCATAATTTGAAAGTTTCCAAAAATTGTGAGCTAAGATGCAACAAAAATGGTGAAGTTACTTGCATAAAATAATAAAATTATTTTGTAATCTTGGGCAACTTAAATTGTTACTGCTTTCAATATATAAACACACAAAGTTTAAATGTATTTAATCAGTTATTTTCTTTTGTTATAAACCTGGTTCTTTTATCTCAATGAATTGGATTTTTATGAGATTTCATACATTTAAAACATTTGGGTTTTTTTTTTTTTTTTCAAACATTCTTTTCTAGTCTAACAAAGGGAATTGTCAAAATTTAACCTGTTGACTGTTTTCTTGCTTGTAAGAAAGAAAAATATGCCACTTTTTTATTGACTCTTTTCTTCAGATAAAAACTGATAGTCTTGTCATAATGATGATGAAACAGAGTAACACAAATTGGGAACATGTCACAGAGATGGCTGCAGAGAAATCAAAAGAAAAAACAAAAAAGTAAGTCTCAATCCTTTCACTTAATTATGAATTTTTCTGCTTAAAAATTGATATTTTATTTTCAAATGTTTTTCCAAAAATAACCAATTTGGCTGAAACCAGATTCTGTAATCAATTTGTTCTTGATTTCTATTGGTGATGCAGATTTCACTTGCTAATTAAATTATGACCATCAGGTGTTTATTTGATTTGGATATTATAATTACCTAAAACAGGTTAAAAAAATTTTTCTTAAATAGAATTTCATCACATATTTGCATGTTGTTGGTTACATGGCCTGACTGACAATGGATATAGTAGCTATTTTTACTGCTATAAACACACATAAAAAATGTATTTAATCAGTTATTTTTTTCTGTTCTGCCATCCATTTACATACACTTATTAGGTATGTTACTCATCGTTTCCCCTCTGTCCCTCTTTCCTTCAGTATGTCCTGTGTGGATCATATTTTCTAAGCAGATATATTCATGTCTGTTCTTCACAAAATGAGTCAGATATCCTTTTTAATTTTATTTCTAAACAAAATTTTTTTCTGTTTTTTTGTAGGAAACCAACACTTGATGATAGCAAGGATCCCAGTGAAGGAATTATGGATATTCTGAAAAATATCTATGAAGAAGGTGATGACGACATGAAGAGAACAATTAACCAAGCTTGGTATGAGTCCCGTAACAAGACTTCTTCATTTGACTAAATGGCAGCTGATCTTTTGATCTCATTATGAATTATTATCAATTGTACAAAAACTTTAAAATCTAAACTAAACATCAACCAAAGTTCAACAATTTATGTTGGTCTTTGATGACATGAAAATGTGTTTTCACATATCGTTTCTTTTTTTTTCTTTTTTTTTTCTCACTAACCTTCATATCAATAAACTGATTTAAAATCAATTGTTACTCTGTTTTTCTGCTGTATAAAAGATTAATTCAAATTGAATTTATCAAATGAAAAATATGGATTATATGGATAATTAAAAAGTGAAATATGTGCAAAGTAATTCATTCATCCCTGTCTTATCTATCTCTCTCTCTCTCTCTCTCATATATATATATATATATATATATATATATATATATATATATATAAAACGGGTGAATGAATTTCTATATATACATGGCTAAGATACAAAGACAAGCTGAAAAGCAACTTGTCAACAGTCAATATACCACATGACACACTTGAGCGCTTAGCCTTGGAGTGGGTAGAATGGAGATCAATGTGTTTTAGTGGACTCAGCAATTTTCAATCTGCTTGTCTGAATCATCTTCAAGAAGTGAGAGCAAGATCTAAAAGGTCAGCCAATCTGACTGATCTCATCTCACAATCCTCACACTTGCTCCATATGTGGCCTACTTTGTAAATCACTAGCGGGTCTTAAATGCCATTTAAGATTATCACACAAAATTTCATAACTGAATCAATAAGCTGTCGGATCCTCATACGTTGAAACTGACGGGAGAGTCCATTATATATATATATATATATACACACACATATATATATAGAGAGAGATAGTGCTGGTGTTAATAAAACAGTGCTCAATGTAAAACACACACAACTATTATATGTTAATAAATATTCATATTATCCCTCACTGATAGCACAACTTAGAGTTTTATGCACAACACAATTTTCAGGTATTTAGTATAGACTGACCATTACATAAATCAAATTTTTAAAAATATATCTGGATGGCGCAATTATATATTCTATTGGGATTACAGTTTTTTAATTTAAACAAAATTATATTTGGCATTTAATATAAACAGGATTTGTGTGTGTGTAATTTATCTTAAAAAATTAATTTATATTAAAAATTAATCTGGATCAACATATTTAAACAGATATTTATTTTTATGCCGACATGTAACCAATTCATTTCTCTTGTTTAATATGCTAAGGTTATTTAAGTGTTTTAATATAACCAATTTTTCAGCAAAAATATATTTTGCACATGCACACTTGGCAAAATAATACATAAAATATTTGATATGTTCATTTTAGTTTTGATTATGACTGAGACAGTAGTACTTGAACAAAAACAGAACTTTGGATGGCCAGCAACTTATTTGACAATTAGGAAAATGTAATAAAGAATTAAACAGACCTTTTTAGTTGAATTTAAAACTTGTTTTAAGCATTGATACACACGTGCAAATTTTTAAAAAAAAATCTGAATTAAAATTTTTTGATTGTTTATTAGTGAAAATAGTTAAAAAAAAATGTTTTTTCATGATTTATCTATGGTAATTTTTTTTTTTTATTTCTGGAAAATAGATTTAAAAATTATTTCTTTTTATAAATTATAAAAATTGCAATAAAAACTTTTTTTGCTTTCAGACAAGTTATCTCCCCTGCAACGATAAACCTATTGGGTTGGAACAAAAGTTTAGCTTTTTTTTCAATTGGTGGAATTTGAAAACGTTATTTAATTTCACATGTAACTGAAATTTATGGCATATGTACATTTTATGAAAGACATTTCAACACTTTTTTTTTTTTTTTTTTATACTAATGTTCACTTTGAATTCTATCAAGACAGGCAAGTGAGAACTGGGCAGCTCCAGACCAGATATGGTTGCAATACTCTATTTTTGATTTGATCTAGTTCTTGTAATGATAAAACAGCAGGATGGATCTAATACTTACTGGAGCAGTACAAAGAACTGGCCATTTTTTCCAGCTTATTTAGTGATGAATCATATATATGAGTTCCACTTGAGTTTTGGGTAGAGTTTTCCCAATAGACAAAGAGCCTCTTTGAGAGAACACCTGTTCATCATGATAGGTGAAAGTTCAGGGTATGATTTGTTTTTGTGAATTGTGTATTTTATGTTTTTACATTAAAAGTGAAAATGGAGGAAAATGAGATGCATTTTCATCATTTGATGCTCTTTTATTTCCAGAAAGAGAAAAAGAATGCTGTACAAACAGAAAAAAAGATGTGTGCCATTTACACTCATGGTGCCGTAGCTGAGAGTAAATTTCAGTGTAACACTCTTTATCATCTGTTACTACCCTGCACAGATAGTTGACGTTTTACAACTTCATTATGACATTCTTGATGTATAATTAATATCTTAGGCTCTCCATTTTGCTCAGATGCATTCTGTCTTTTTCCAGTTACTGATTAGTCATTTTTTTATTTTGCTTTCATTGACTACCATATTTTATTCTTCTGAATCAGTCATCAACACAGTGTCATCTGCATAGCTTATATTGTCAAGCTTAACAACCACCAATAATAAATCTTGGCAGGTTCTTTTAGAATCATTTCATGGTACTATTTTAAAAGATTGGTCCACTCAAAAATAAGGATAACATTTTGGGGAGGGGGATAATTTTTATACATTGCCATTCTTTAGACCTTCCTTAGGCTGTGACGATTTTCAGAATCAAAAAAAATATTGATTCTTCTTGATTGACTTAGAAGGGTTTTTTTTTTGATTGATTGGATTGTTTTTTATGACTTATCAACCATTTGCAAGTTATTTAAAGCCAGAAAATATTTTTAGATTGTAAGAATTATTTGGATTTCTACTAATTAAACCATAGTTGGAGAAGAGGTAGATTCATACATTCACCAAGTTTATTTGCATGTAAGTGAATACAACAAACCCAACTGGAATTGGAACATGGCTTTCCAATTTCCAATTCTACTATCCAGTACACATCCAACCTTACAGCACCTGATATTCCAAAGCAGTCACCCATTTAGGCAATGACCAATCTCAATATTGCTTAACTTCAGTGATCATATGAGAACCTGTGTTTCAACATGGTATGGCCATAAGCGATTTAGAAGGGAATCTTTTTTTATAATATCAATACAAAGTTAAATCAATAACTGACTTTTACAGAGTTATTGGACTTATTTGTTCCGTGTATGAAAATGGACTTTTTTTTTTTTTTGGAGGAGCATTACAAAAAGATAATTGATTTACATAATTTACATATATTAATAAAATGCTGTATTTGTTTATTCTTAATTTAAAATTAATAACTATAAACCTCAGATGTTTGTGCATGTGCTTCCAAAAAAATCCTATACAAAAAAAGTTATTATTTTATTATTATTTTAACTACCTTCACTTGACAATGTTTATTGTTTTTAAAAAGCAATGATTAGAATTATAATAAAACCTAAACATATGATTTAAGTGAATTTATACATTTTTTGTTCTTGAAAATTTGCAACAAAAATATTAAACTATTTATTAGATTGTTTATTTACAAAAATAATTTTATATGTACAACATTCTAAAAAACTAATAGATTTGTATTTAAAGCTAATGCAATGCAATATTTATCATTTACCAATTTATAAAGACATAAATATGAAAACAGTTTTTTATTCATAGAATTATAAATATTTACTAAATTATTAAAAAACCAACTCTAATAAAATCTTTATTATTTAACATTTTATAAAGTTTGAATTGATTGGCAATCAGCCAATGTTTTGCCAATCATTCCAATAAACAATATAATAAATAGTATAAATAATGTTCTAAATATTTTTGCTGTTAATTCACAAGAACAAAGCAAATGTATAAATTTACTTTTATATATTTAGGTTTTATTAAAATTATAATCATTGCTTTTTAAAACAATAGACATTGTCAAGGAATTAAAGTAATTAAAACAATAGTGGTGTCAACAGAAAAAACCTGTTGACATTCCATTTTTTTTTTTTTTTTTGTGGGCATGAAGGTGATGCACATTGTGTGTGTGTTAAGTTCAACCACTAAAGGAAAAGATAACCCCATACCTGGGAACAATGTCCTGGTGGTGTTGTCACTAATGCATGCTGGGAGGAAAAGAGGATGAAAACAAAAAGTGTCCTATTTTTATAGCTTCTCAACAATGCTCTCTAATGACTTCTTAGCAAAACTGGTGACTCTATACAGGGATAACCCACACCCTAAATGCATTCAATTTTTTCCCTCCCTTAACCTGTTGCTAAAAATCCCACAGAAATGTTGAGCAATTAATTGACTAACTACATCATGATAACCTTACTCCAACAATTTGGTGGCCTCAACACAGCTCCTATTGGACCCAAACTAACAAAATGGCAAATTATCAGAAACACTTTGAACAAGTGTAGTGTTATCTAAAAGATGGATATCTTGTTACCAAGTTAGAATTGCTTGTGGATTTCTTCTATGACTGAAATTAGTAGACAAATAAAAATGAAAGTTAATCTGGTATAAGGCATAGTATAGCTGGTCTTGACCTTTCTTTTGGTAAAGTAAGAACAACTGATATAATGAACAAATATAACTTTTTATTTCCTTAAAAACACTGTGAAATACTGAAATGAAAGGGGTACATACAAAGTAATTAATAAATTTTCAATTACAATTTTTTCCAATATACAACAAATTCATAGAAATTTTAAGACTATAATTACCTTGTGCACCAACAACCAATGTCAAGAACTACTAGAGACTAATTATTTCTTAAACCATTCTAATTTTTAGCATTCAGATTACGACTGAGGAGTTTTCCCTTGCTTTGACTTTCCCTCCAAATTCAGAACTAGTCACACACCGAAAAAGGGTACAGTTGAATTCTGGGATTTGGGATGACCCTTGCAAAGTTGTTTCCCTTATATTGAAAATTATAAAATACAATTAACTCTAGCTAGATTTATTAGCACGCCATTCAGTGACAGCTACACATAGTAATGAACCACACAATGATGATCAAGCTCACTACCTTAGCAAATGGCCTATAAAAAATGCTTCATAATCTTTACTCTATGGTAATTGTATCATATCAAGGTTATTGTCTTTCTTTGTCAGTTTAAATTTATTATACCTAATTTATTGTTTTAATAAAATGTAATCTTTCTTGTTTTTGTGACTAACACTTTAACATTCAACACATTCTAACCTGCCTGAAAATATTGATTCTCAAAGTCTCTCCATTTGTGGTCAAAGTCTCCCAATTATGTCATCATATATTATAGCAGAGTATACATGGGGTGGGTTACAATGGGTTGAATATTGAGAGCTGATAATTTATGGGGAGGATTAATTGTAAAGCATTATTTTCAGGTAATTTTCAGAAATAATGATTGAGCATGTACAAAGCAAATAAAAAACACCCTGTAATTTTAATATAAGACTTAGAATTTGATGTTTTTTTATCTTCTTTGACTCACATCCCAATTTTGTCATTTTAAATCAGTTAAATTTAAATTTTAAATCATTGAATTTATTTGTCAACTTGAAATTCCCTGTAGTGTAATAGGAATATCACAAAACTAGAAAATTTAGAGATTTCAAAAAGTATGAATGAAATAAAATACATTTTCTTAGAGATCCATGACTGAACAGATATACACCAACAGAGAACAATGAAGAAAGTTAAAAATCTTTCATTTCTTAGTACCTTCCTCTTACTGAGAGAAATGACTTAAAATTTAGTCTTTTAAAAAATGTACTTTAATCTCTGACTATCAGTGTTTGTGTTTTTTTTAAAGACTACCTGAAAATTTAATTTCTTTATTTGTTTTACATATCAATTTCTGCTTTATCAAAATAAATTCTATGTGTCATGTCCCTTTGGGATGTGGGTGATCAATTCTCTCCACAATTTCCTGTCCTTTGTAGCTCTTAGTAAAGCCTGTCTTTTTGCTATCTCTCCTAATCCCTGTTCTTCCAACCATATACACAAGCTGCGTTCCCCTGTCCCACTTACCTTCAATATGTCCTGTAAGTGTCGAATTTTCTAAGCCCTCTTTCTTGATTATGTGCACTAGAAATTTCAACTGTCTCTTTCCGATTCTAAGTATAAGTGTTCTTTTTGTTTCCATTTTCTTAAAACTTCATTGTTGCTCACATGTTCAGTCCATGGTATTCTCAGCATCCTCCTGTGGAACCACATTTCTGTTGCTTCAAGTCTCTTCTTCATCCGTGATGAGATTATCCAGCATATAGAAGGACAGATATTACATAACAGTTCAATACTCTTTTCTTTGTTTCTAATGAAATTTTTCTGTTTCTTAATACCTTGCTTAGCATTTGGAACGCATCTTTCACTAAACTGGTGTGCCTTCAAATTTCAGTGTCACATTTTCTGTCCTCTAGTAAAACACTTCCCAGATATTTAAATTTTTGATTTTGCTAATTCCAATTTGTAAATCAGCTGTTTCATTTACTGACAGCCATGAATTTTGAAATCAATATCTTAACAAATTAAGATATTAGTTTCTATTCCTTTTGTTCCATGTTTGCATTCTTTGAATATTTTTACTTTTAATGGTTGAAAAAACAAAATTCTTTCTTATATGCCACAATAGAGTTAAATGTATAGATAAAAATCATAGATTATTCATGCAGAGAATATAGACAATGCAATTGTAAAATTACTTAAATATATCATCATTTTTTGACAATGAAGGTAAACTTGTATCCAGTGCTGGATTTACATATGGGCAAGTATAGGTTGAAGCTTAGGATCCCAAAACTAGAGGGGTCCCCAAGTTTGGTTTGGGTCTCTGATAAAACTAAAACAAAAATATAAGAACAGAAGAGATTTGTATATTTTCAGATTTAATGGGGCTCCTTTTGAACTAATTTGAAACAATTTAGAGCATTTGGGCCACTCTAGTTGGAATGAGTTTTTAAATTTGATGGGTCCCCTTAAAGGAGCCCCATTTAGAATTTGATGCATCTTTTTTATATACATATAAATTATTGATTATCGTTATGTTTTTAGGATGCTTTGCTAGTGAATTTGAATATTAGTATTTCAGTGTAATACAGGCCACCCTTCATTCTAGATACATTTATGTAGGATGTAAAATTCAGAGAAAAAAGTATCATGAAATTGCTAATGAAATAAATTGGACAAGTTTGAAAATCATTAAAAATTTTAGTTAAAGTGTTTCATGTTTTACACCAAAAAGGCATTATCTAAAAATATATCTTTTCTATTATAGGCATTTCAACATACGTAATGAAGGGGCCCCCAAATTCTGTTAACTCAGGGGCCTAAACCCAGCCCTGCTCCTATCCTAATAATCTTAAACCCAAGATGTTTATTGTGTTAAAATCTTTATAAAAAGATTGCAAAATTAAGTGATCTGTTTATGAAATTTAACATTTAAATGTATTATGCTAAACAAGATTCTTTCTTTTAACTGTGTTGCAGAGTGGTTTAATGTTTATGGTAGGTGTTCTCACTCAGGAGGGTAACCCCTAGAGTGAATTTTAGGGAGAGGATCTTTTACTTTTTCATAAGTTTCTTATTGACTGCAATCTTCATCAAAATAAAATCGATTTAAATACCTTGAACTTTTATTGAACTTTTTTTATTGAATACCCTGGCATTCTATTGAACATTTTGTTTATTGAAGTTTGCTTCAGTTTATTTATTTAATAATTAGTTATGAATTAAAACAAATTATTTCACTTGTATTCAAGTTCAAAAATTCATCAACATTTTCTATTGCTATTAAATTTGTAAAATTCTTCTATAAAAATAATCCATGTAAATGTATATGTAATAATATGGAAAAGAATGAAGATTTTCAGCAATATATGTATATTATTTGGAATGCACCTTTTAAATTGGACAATGTTGGGAAGGCAGGGTGGGGAAATAACCTTCTGACCTGGTGAAATGGGTGTGTTGGGCAAAAAAGTTTGAGAACCACTGCATTATAATAAATATAGTAAATAATAAGACTGCTAGCATTCTGGGAGTTTCTGACCAGTTGCAGGAGGTTATAAGATATAATATTCTATATTTTACAACCAATAGGTGGAACACAAGTAA